TTTTATGAACTATATTTATTTTATATATTTTTTAAATGTAGTTTATCCTTGTTAGATCGCCTGGTTGGGTTTGATTTTTATTTGTTGACTAAGAAGTCTTAATAGGTTGAATTTTAAAATGAGACTGTTCGATACATTTGTGAGTTATTAGGTACTTAAATAGAAGAAACTTGAGAAGAAAGGAAGAAGGAGAGAGGGGAAAAATTGAGAGAACATCTCTGCGTGCCATTATCGTAGTTGCCTCGTAACCAATCAGGTACTTTCTAGGAGCAAGAATAAAATTTTCTGTTAAGTGATTAGGCCCGGGTCACCGGCAATTACCCGCAATTACCTGGACCGTTGAAAGTCTATTAACTCCCACTCCTTGTCCGACAACGGAACTTCCCATAAAATTGACAAATTCTATTATCTTTGAGAGAAGTTGATTTGTCTATGCATGCAGATGCTGCATGCACATGTTTCTAAATAGTTTTTTAATGTCACTAATATTACTGCACCCAAGGAAATTGATGAGTTTTTAATTATCCAGGTAAATAAATTTTTATTAACATTGTGATTTATAATTTTTATCAACATATTTAAGATATTTATTAAGATATTTAGAATAACACTCTTGTTGTCCTTAGGTGATGCTTCTAATTGGCTAGAACTTGGCTCTGATGTTGGTTCTGATGTTGGCTTTAAAGGATTTGAATAGCTGAATGGAAGCACTCCATGCATTCTGATGTGAGTATTTTGCTCTCGTTTCATGTAACTATCAATTATCGTTCCATTTATTTAACATGTTGCATCTGCAATATTTCTTAATTGCACTTTCGCGTGCTTTCATAAACCTTAAACTTGACTTTAGTTACCTTTTGTTGGTAAAGACAAAATACTTTTAATATTGAATTATGATGATAAATAAATCATAATCTGTGTTTAATATAAAAGAACAATGAAATATCAAACTTTATTCACTTTATCTTCGATAATGGACGTGATAAATGACAAAGATTTTGATAGCGCGCTTGATCATCTCAATAAAGATTTTCATTTTCTCAGCACTAATAGAAAAGATGTGAATAGCTTTCAAAGTAATGACCAGAGAGTCAAAGAAAGACATTTAAGGGAAACACTTCAATCACGGCATGGCCCAACAGCTGAAATTCATGACCAGGTACATTAATCAATAAACATTCACATGAAGAGTTAATTAACAAAATCATAAAATTTAAAAGTTTTACAGAGATCATAAGCTTTTGCTTGTTTTATTCCGAGTTCTTGCTGTCATGCCAATTGAAAGATCGAGTCCAGGACGAATAACATTTTCGTGGAAATCACGAGCATCAATTTATGCTTTTTTCTTTTACACCTTCGCCACTGTAATTGTTGTTATTGTTGGTCTTGAACGGATCAAAATTCTTGGAGAAACGAAGAAATTCGACGACACCATTTATGGAATTTTATTTATAATTTTCCTTATTCCCCATTTTTGGATTCCTTTCGTAGGTTGGGGTGTTGCGAGTGAAGTTGCACGATATAAAACCAGTTGGGGAGCATTTCAAGTGAGATATTTTCGAGTGACTGGAGAAAATTTGCAGTTTCCACGATTACAAATGATAATCGTAATCATTTCAATTGGATGTTTGTTATGTGCTGTTTTGTTCATAGTTTCGCTGAGTTTCCTCCTTGAAGGTTTTCCTTTGTGGCAAACAAGCGCTTATTGTAAGTGAAAAAAAGTTATTTCAATGCAAATTAAGTTTTTATTCTCAAACAGACCACACAATGACGATGCTAAATATGAATTCAGCTTTGTGGTACATCAACAGTCGAGGAATTAAAGTCGCATCAGAAAATCTCTCAAGATGCTTTAGGAAGGTTTGTTAATTATCTTTAAATTGGAAAAAAAATTCTAAATTACTTATCAACTCTCAAGGACGTCGAAATTGATTGCACAGCTTACATGATATCAAAATATCGATTTCTCTGGTTAAACTTGAGTGAGCTTTTACAGTCATTGGGAAATGCTTACGCTCGAACTTATTCTACTTATTGTTTATTCATGTACGTCCTTTCATTGACATTTTCTTTCTCAACGACGTCATTAATTATTTTATTTATTCATGAAAGGTTGGCTAACATTACTCTCGCCCTTTATGGAACGATGTCTAGCGTCATTGACCATGGATTTCAATTCTCGTTCAAGGAAATTGGACTCATTGTTGACACGGTTTACTGTTCCATTCTTTTGTTCGTGTTTTGTGACTGCTCGCATAGCTCAACATTGCAGGTTGCACAAGGAGTTCAAGACACTTTATTGACGATTAACTTATTGGTAGTTGATCGACCCACGCAAAAAGAAATTGACATTTTTACTCAAGCGATTGAAATGAATCCGGCAATTGTTTCACTCAGAGGGTATGCGGAAGTTAATCGTGAACTTTTGACATCTGTAAGTTTTGTAACCGCTTAGGTGTTAAAATGTTGAGGTTTAACACGAATTCATTTAATTATTTTCAGAGCATCGCTACGATTGCAATTTATTTAATTGTATTGATACAATTCAAATTATCATTGGTTCAACAGCAATCAAGAAATTAAACTCAAAAATTGTGTTTAAGTTTCAATAAAATTTATTCCGATTACCAACAATTAGAGTTTTACATAAAAAACTATAGAATGATAGAAATTCTTTCCAATTCCACCAAAAGTAGACATCAAGATAAGGCACTTTGGGTATAAAATATTAGAGAATATCATTTGCTTATGATAATGATGAGTTTTGTTCCGATTCCAATCTTTCAGAATGATTCAGCAGCTTCGAATCTTTACGAGAACATCTGTGAACATTTTAAAGTAAAATCAATGAATTTGAAATTTAAATAAAATGAATTTCTTACAATTGTTTGCATTTTTGAATGATTAAAATAGTAAGTAATGGGAATGGCGTCATTATTGCGACAGACACTGGCACAACAGTTGTTAAGTCAGCCATCGGTTGTTCGAGTGAAAACGTTAGAAGAAATATTGCGATTCCTGTATTTTGAATTCCAGTCTCGATAGCAATTGCAATTGCATCAGGAGATGATTGTCGGAAAAGTTTTGATGAAAGCCAACCAAAGCTGTAACCAAGCCATGGAAGTCCAAGACCAGCAAGTATAATCTAATTGAACAAAATTTTCAATTTAAAAAGAAGGTAAATGATAATAAATTCAAATTGTTTACTTACTTGCCATGAAAATAATTGAAAGATGTATAAATTTGCGACAATTGCAAAGATGACAATGAATAGAATCAAAATAAGTGACAAGGGCTTCAAAATACGAACTAAAATCTTCGCTATTTTTGGCATATATCTTTGAATAAGAAGCCCAATTGCTAATGGTATTAAAAGACCAGCAGCCATCGTTGATATGCGTTGATAGGGAACACCCAACTCAGCTCTCTCAAATATTGTACTGCCAAGTGTAAAGATCCAAAGTGGCATCATTGCAAATGCAGCTAAAGTGCTGATTGTCGTCATAGCGATTGACAAGTTTATGTTCCCTCCTAAGAGTAACGTCCACATGTTTGAAGCACCACCGCCTGGCGATATTCCAGTGAAGAACAATCCTAACGCTAGTTCATGAAAATCTGGGAAGAGAGCAAGTCCTAAACCGTAAGCGGCCAATGGCATGAATACAAATTGACAAGCAAAACAAATTGCAGGGCCGATGGGCTTTCTCATGATATCTTTAATCGTTGACATGTTGATAGCAGCACCGAAATTGATATAAAGAACTGTTACCAAGATTACAACCGAATATGTGAACACTCTGTCGATTACACGTTGTGGTCGTAAACATGTAACATCGAGCCATTCATTTGATTTCTCTGTTTGGTTGTTGCGGTCTTTTATCTCCACAAAAACTCTCGTTTGACCTTATTAGGAAAAATATTCAGATAAGTTTCTTTATTCGTGAGATATTTTCATTTTTTCTTACCTAGAAAAACTCCAGTTACATCAAAGAACGCATCCCATGATCGATTCCCTTTATCGACTTCAAAAAATCTCACATTTTGCTGATTCTTTACTGTTGCCAAGTCTTCATTTTCACTTCTTAGTTGTACATAATCTCTGTCGTTTAATAAAGCTACTTTGTCATCGGGAACCTCTGATAAGATGACACGAACTGTTCTGCTTGATGCAGTCTTTATTGTTATCGCATTCGGGTCAAATGTTGACTTCCATTCGACACAACTTGTCAAAAATGCATTCGACAAAATAAAAAGTAAGACGTGGTAAAGATATCTGAACGGACACATTGCTTAATGCCAACTAAATGTTGAATGAAATGAGAAATAAGTAATTAGTTACTTATTGTTTATTTGTACGTATTTATTTTGAACTGTTCAATAAATTAATATCAAATTTCAATTGTCACTTTGCGTGCTTCCTAAAACGTATTTCATAATAATGAATCGTCATTTCGTTGAAAACTCGTTAGTAAATATCTAAGATATCAATCATAAGTACCACTCTGTAATAAAAATGTAAGATGTTCGTGACACGATATTTCAACGTTGTTTTGATGATAAGAATATCTTATCTGATAATTTATATCCAACTTTCTACAATTTTCTTGTATTTATTTTATTATCTAACAATTCTCAATGAAAAACTAATTAAGACATGATGCAGAAACAAAAAAATAAGAAAACACGAAATTTTCAACATTTATTGTAACATATCAATCCAGATCATTGATTGATCATGACCTTGATTGCAGATCAACTCAAAAAATTGCAAATTTTAAGCGATTTCTAAATTATGTAAACTTGAAGCACTTTCTTTTCGGTATTTCCAGGTCAACAGCATGTCAGTACTTGACACTTACTTAAATTTATGTTCCACAATACTATTCACACAATTTGACGTTAAGACTATGTTTAATAACACTGCATAAAAGTGCACGGAATTTTTCAATGTTAGGTATTTCAACTTTTACTTCTCACGAGAAGTGTCTTCACCTGAAATTGCTACCCCAGAAAGCTAGTTTCAGGTGGAGAGTGTGAATTATGAAAAAAGTACAAGATTTCTTTCATATTGTGTCCTCGCTTACAATTTCTTGTTTATTATCAACAAAAGAGAATTTAGCTTCAAACAGAACAGTGTCTTTTTTTAATATTTCCGCGCACAATAATTGTATAAAGGAATTAAAATGACTGAACTTAGAAATGGAAACGATGTTGATAATGAAGAAACAACCACGGACGCTTTTGGATCAGGACTTCCAATGTAATTAAAAGTTTTGGTTTCTTCTTTGATTTTGAAATATTAAAAGTGATGCATCATTTTGTGATAATTAAAAACGTTTTTTTTCTTCTCTTAAATAAAACAGAAGAGCTTATGGAAGAATTTATGCAAGAATGCCTGCACAAAGATTTGCTTCTGAATATAACATGAACCATCACAAGCGTGGTGTTGCTTTGATTTTCAATCATGAACATTTCGATATTCCATCTTTAAAGAGCAGGTAGGAAAAAAATTCTTATATATGACCCTCTCAAGTTCTTTTGTTTAAAATTTCTTTCATTTTTCCTTTTCTTGTAAATCCTTTCTTCAGAGCTGGGACAAATGTTGATTGCGAAAATCTTTCCAATACACTTCGCAATCTTCATTTCGATGTGACGATCTTCAAAGACAGTAAACAACAAGAGATGATTCATGAGGTTCAACAGAGTAATAAATATTATGAAATATTTGAAAAAAGTATAAATTTAATGACATCAAATGTTTACAGTTTCACGATTGGATCACACTAATTACGATTGTTTATTGATCGCAATATTGTCGCATGGAGAATTTGGATATTTATACAGCAAAGATCAGCCATATAAACTGGAACAACTTACTTCATTCTTCACAGCTGATCGATGTCCATCATTAGCAGGGAAACCAAAGGTGAATATTTCTGATGCAATACGGAAAACCTAACGCCTAATTTTTTTATTTCATTCTTTATTTTTGTGTGCAGCTCTTTTTCATTCAAGCATGTCAAGGTGATAAACTTGATGGAGGCATTTCAATGAGACGTGAAACAACTGAAACAGATTCAAACTCATCGATTAGTTACTCAATTCCTGTTCATGCTGATTATTTGATTGCATATTCAACTATTCCAGGTAAGTTGTTGATCCCATTAGAACCTTGAAGAAAAAAAAACAAATTAAATGCTTGTTAGTCGTAAATCAAGAAAAAATCTTCTATTAAAATAACATAAAAATATCACACAAAGAAAGTCAAATTTATTTCTCCGCTGGGTGAAGTGTACGATGGTTATTAACATTGCTTTACAAACATGGATCATCCATTTCCTTTTTTCAAATAATATTTCCTTTCCTCCAATTCAACGCTTCATTCCATGAAGTTCAAGGTAATGAAGTGAGTGTAAAGGGTTGAATATTTCCTTTGTCTGATATCGTAAAGTAGAAAAGAAATCAATGGGTGGAAGTTTCAACGGACTTTTACAAACACAATGTGGGTGGAATAAGAGAAGAATGAGAATAATTTTCTCTATTTCCTCGTTGACAAGCATTTAATCACCGATGCTATCTTTTGATCAAATTACGTAGATCATTTACCCTCAATTTTAATTCGATTCAGGTTTTTATTCGTGGAGAAATACAACCAAAGGTTCTTGGTTCATGCAATCATTGTGTGCTGAGCTGGATGAGAATGGTAAGAGATATGACCTCTTGACACTTTTAACGTTTGTTAGCCAACGTGTTGCATACGATTTTGAGTCAAACACCCCTGACACGCCAACAATGCATCAACAGAAACAAATTCCATGCACAACAACCATGTTGACTAGAATCTTAAGATTCAACGACAAGTTATAAATTACATCTTGTTTTTATCTCAAAAACTTTCATTGTATCTCTTTTTTTAGTTTCTTACTTTAGTTTTTTTTAATCTCGAGATTCAAAATTGATCGCGTTGTGATTTGAAATTAGAAAAAAAAAATTGCCTTCGTATGATATCAAAACAAAATTTTGATTATGAATTATGAGACTTATATCTATTGATAGATTTTTGGCAAAGGACGTGGTTTTGTATGTATCAATATCAATGAAATTTTAAATGTTCTTAAGACTTAATGGAGCGCTTTTAAGCTTCGCAAATAAATATGAAAATACTGCCACATGCCACTTCACACACTTTACAAATATTACAATTGTAACCACTTGGCCATTATTCAATGTGAACTTAGATATTTAAGCTTATTTTTCTTTATGTCTACTTATAAGACTTTATTTTTAATATTTTCTGACCATTACTTAAACAACATTATTTTTGTAACGATAAAAAAATATTTGAAATAAATGAAGTTTTCATACAAAATACCTACCTATTTTCGTTTCATTGCCAACTTCACGTTTGTTTTCTTTTCTGAGTCTTTCAGGAGTTTTCGTCTGAATAAGTTAAACTTTACTAATTCTCTGCAAAGTTCTTGTTGATTCTTGCATAATGACATTCGAAGGAAAAGTTGTGATCATAACAGGTGCATCTTCAGGAATTGGAGCAGAAACAGCCCAAGAATTTTCGAAACTGGGAGCAAAAGTAGTTTTGGTGGGAAGAAATTTGGAAAATCTTCAAAAAGTCGCCTCCGGATGTGGTTCGTCTGATAAAGTTTTGGTTGTTCAAGCTGATGTAACAGTTCAGAACGATGCAAATAAAATCATTGATGAAACAGTGAAAACATTTTCGAAAATTGATGTTCTTGTCAACAATGCCGGAATTATTGAAATTGGATCGATAGAGAACACTTCGATTGAACAGTATGATCGTGTTATGAACACTAATATGCGTTCTATTTACTATCTTACAATGCTGGCTGTTCCTTATTTAATAGAAACCAAAGGAAACATTGTGAACGTTTCAAGTGTCAATGGCATTCGTTCCTTCCCAGGTGTTCTCGCTTATAATCTTTCTAAAGCGGCTTTAGATCAATTTACACGATGTGTTGCTCTTGAATTAGCTCCTAAGAATGTTCGAGTAAATTCTGTTAATCCTGGTAAGCCTCATGAATTGTGTAATAATTTAATTTTAATGAGAATTAATTTAAAAATAATTCTTTCAGGTGTCATTGTGACAAATATTCATAAACGAGGTGGAATGAGCGAGGAAGCTTATGCTAAGTTCTTAGAACATTCAAAAACAACTCATGCTTTAGGTCGACCAGGAAATGTTCAAGAAGTGTCTGGAACCATTACATTTCTTGCAAGTTCTACTGCCAGTTTCATAACTGGAGCTTCTTTACCTGTTGATGGTGGTCGTCACGCAATGTGTCCACGATAATAATTACGAACTTGTTTATAATGAAAATGGCAAGAAAATGGAATATGACAATTCATGGTTTAAAAGCATTTTATCAAAATAAAAATTTATTTTATCAAATGTAAATTGTTTCAGTTTCAACATTTTTTCCAATTCAAAACGAAAAGTTTGCAGCATCTTAACGAGATTTTTAAAAAAAGAAATTAAGTTTAATAGCTCACTTCACTCTGTTTTTAATCTTTGGCCGTATTGATAAGAGAATTTATTAAATAAAATTGGTATTACGCAATGAATTTCACTGGTAAAGTTGTTTTAGTAACCGGTGCATCATCTGGCATCGGTGCACGTACTGCTCAAAAGTTTTCAAAGCTTGGTGCAAGTTTAAGCTTGACTGGAAGAAAATTGGAAAATCTCCAAAAAATTGCAGATGAATGTGAAGGTCAAAAGCCATTGATTGTTTCCGGTGATATAAGTAAACCGGAAGATACAAAAAGAATTGTTGAAGAGACAATCAAGAAATACGGAAAGCTCGATGTACTTGTTAACAATGCCGGAATTATTGAAACAGGAACGATTGAAAATACCAGCTTGGAACAATATGATCGTGTGATGAACACAAATATTCGTTCGATTTATCATCTCACTATGCTTGCTGTTCCTTATTTAATTAAAACAGAAGGAAGTGTTGTAAATGTTTCAAGTGTCAATGGCATTCGTTCGTTCCCAGGTGTTCTCGCTTACAATCTTTCTAAAGCTGCAGTTGACCAATTCACTAGATGTGTGGCACTTGAATTAGCTTCTAAAAATGTTCGTGTAAATTCTGTCAATCCTGGTAAATCTACTTAAGTGGCCATTTAAAGCTTTTTCTTTTTTAATTATGAATTATTAAAGGTGTAACTGTAACAAATCTTCATAAGCGTGGTGGAATGGATGAAGCAGCGTACGCTAAATTCCTTGAACACTCCAAAACAACTCATGCTTTGGGACGTCCTGGCACTGTTGATGAACTATCAGATGCCATTCTATTTCTTGCCAGTAGCAACGCGTCATTTATTACTGGAGCATCTTTGCCGGTCGATGGCGGACGTCACGCTATGTGCCCACGATAAACTTTACTTGTTTGTCAGTTTGTTAAAATGTTAATTGGCTTTTTAAAAACAACTTTTTATGTTTAAAAGTTCACATGGAGTTTGAAATGTTGTATCGTAACATGAGCATATCTATTACTATAGAAATGTTCATTTTTATATCTACTAAATAAAAGAAACATACAAAAAACTACATAAAGAGCTTAACTGATAATATAATGAGATCGTTTTATATGTAATTAATTAAAATACAAAAAAAGAACAGCTGATGATGTTAAACATCATTATCAGCTTCAAAGATTCTCACAGAAAAAAAAAATCGACTAACAAAGCTTTCAAACAACTCGACTGTAAAATTACATCTCGTCATTTGTTACACTCAACTGCAATCTGGAACAAGCAGTGACCATCAGTAGTTTGTGCAGTGGAAGGTACCAAAAAACATAAAAATTGTAAATTGTAACCAACTCATATTTGTTATCATTCAGTTTTACCAGAAAGGATGAATGGAATGTTGCTGAATGTTGATAAATGTTGGGTTCGCTAACATAAAATTTGTTACGAAACATCAAAATGACAAAATGCATTTCCTTTGAACAAACGTGACGTTAGGATTCTGATTCATCCTTCAAAACTGCAGCAAACGATGTTAAAATAATTGATGGTTATCGATCCGTAAAACCACACATGCATCAAATTGTCTCGATAAGCCTTCAAATAAATTCGAATGAATTTCCACAGTGGTGGTTAATGATAAATTTCCATTTCAAAAGTAGTTTTAACTCCAACATCATCATTCACTTGAATGAATATAAACAAATAATGATATGAGGTGAAACAGATATTGGCAATCCATGAATATTTAATAAAATTTTTAATTCAAAATTGTGTGATTGATTTGAGCAGTCGAGTATCAGAAAGTGACATTCTAAGCGAAACAAAACAAAACTATTCAATCGCATTTTCCTGTTTGAATATCCTGAATGTCCTTTGTTACTTTGTATGATTTATGACATGTCAAAATGATTTAACAACTGGAACGTGGCGGAAATAAAAAGCTTCAACAAGCTACAAGATAAGAAGATTCAATTTTTATTGATTGTCAAACCAGAAGCATCGTTTACATCAAAAACTCACAAATTAATTTTTAAATGCAACTTCAAGGGTTTCAATTCGCGTTTCATATTTCATTATCTACTTATCTTATACAACTAGGTTTCGATTACTTTCTTCCCACTCTGACTTACCCACAATCAGCACCTAAACATTTCAAATTTTGTCTTTTGATTATATTTATGTGTAGAAATACGAGAAACATTTGTAAATGTTCCTCATGTTTTAAATATAGATATGGAAATTGGAAAATTGTTTATTTTGGAGAGAAAATGATATTTCAGACTCCTACTTACCAAAAGATTATTTTCATCTCTGTGCCATACTGAAATAGCATAAGTGCACATATATAAATAAGCTGGCTCTAAAGTAACAAGGATTTTGTGGTTTAAATTTCTCTAGAGTTCAATAAAAGGCTGAAAGTTGTTTCGTATTGAGTTGTTTTAATGAATATCATGTACATATTGCATGTTCTTTAATTATAAGAAGATATTTCATAAATATTTGTTTTACTATGATTTTGAAATAATAAAGATAAAACGCTCATGGCAATCATCATAACGATGAATGAAAAATATTTTTACATTTATTATAATTGATCACAAAATTTTTACCTTAAAACATGCTCAATAAAAAGTAAAATGAATTCTTATTAAAGAACACATTGCAATTTAAAATATTCTAAACATTTACCTTTAATCTTCATTTAAGTTGAAATTTGAAAGCTTTTATGCAGGTACGTGTTTGTTGAAATTCTCATATGTGCTTTTATGAAGCACACAAATTGAAATAACAAAATTTTTATATCTCTTGGAACATTTAATTACTCGACTCTCAACGTACATGGCATATTCAACAAAATTAACTACATGCAAGTTTATGCAACTCATATCTACACATATTTAGTGATGAATTAGGGTGAATCTGTATTAAAGCTTCTTCCTTCTTTCTTTATTGGTCTATATCTAGTAATTTATTTGAATTAGATCTCCATCTGTTTATTATTGCGACATATGCGAAGTAAAGAAAGAAATTTATGCAGATAAGTAACAAAAAATAAAATATCTTGGAAAATAAGAACAACAATGTTTCCTGATAAAAATGGGAAATATTCTAATACTCCTTCGTCGGAAAATAAAAAAATGTTCTCGTGGAGATTTCTATAATTTATGCAGTATGAATATAAACATACAAAAAATGTGGAACAATGCTGAAGTTGCACTAAATTCCTCTGGTATGATTACAAATATATTTCTTCTGTCAAATAACAAACAGTTTGAAATAGAAAAAGAACAATCAGTAACTTTGTTTGGCGTAGAAATTCACCGAAAACATTTTTCAGGAGCTTACAAAAACGCGCTTAAAAATAGTAAAACTTGTCTGAAACTAGAAATGGAAAATATTATTTGAAACAAAAGCAAATAACACATTTATGGAGTGTGTTAATAAAATTCTAGAACTTTGTCGTGAAGAGCGTCAGCATAAATATTTGAAGTTGCATTTGAACATGTTAATAAAATGCATGAAGGTTGGTTGTGACAACTTTCAGTTAAGCTCGTCTTCTCCACAATACTTGCTGTCACTTAAAGCATTTTAATAATTTTTCTTATTAATATAAAATTGAAAATCGTTTTCAATCATTGGTAATTATAAATTAACAAAAAAATTTAATTAAAACTCGTAACAAGAACTTATCAACTGCTTCATGTCATTCAATAATTAAACTGATTTGATGTCTGCCAAGAAATCCTTCCGAATTTGTATCAAATAATGAAATTCTATAAATAAAAGTTACTTAGAATGAAATGAAGCAGCAGAAGAAAAAAAGTAATTAAACAGATTTCTTCTATTTCATTAGCTAAAATGTTTGTGAAATCGCACGATTATGTTTCATTTCATTTCCAGAACGACGTCAATTTTTATCTCATTTAACTCAGCAAATTTAGATATTCTGAAATCAAAAGCTTTACTCTTCTTATTAAACTTTATCAATCAATATCACACATGCAGAAAGAATCTTTTAATCAATCGTGTCAGATATTAATAGCTTGGGATGCCTTAAAAATGATTCGTTATGTAATAATAGAATTTTCAATCAATAATTAATCATTTATGTCCATTTTAAATAAGATCAAAACATGTAGGAAGCTACAAAATTTTATTAAACATAAAGAAAAGTCGGCTGGGTCATATTAAGAAAGTTATGTAAGTTGTAAAAGTTATCGGCATAATATTCGTTGACTATGCAAAAAATAATAAATTGAATTCTTTTCTGATATGAAACATGATGTCAGCATAACTTGGAAGCATCCAGAATGATTAGTAAAATAAACACATTAGATATTTATTAAGTAAATTTAAGTATCTTTTGTAATCTTATATATTTTGTAAGAATTATTTGGGAAGTTTCAATTCTTCCTTTCTCTTTGATCTTTGATAGTAAGACATTTATTGCATCTAGTTAAATTAAATAAATGTTGGAAATGAATGAATAAAACTTAAGAAAATTCTTCTTTTTATAAGGTAACAAAATGTTTCTTTGACATGCCAATTTGGCAATTCATTCATTGCTTGATCATTCTAAATAATGATAAAAATACATAAATAAGAAAATATTTTTCAAAGAGACTGACATCATTCAAACGTAAATAAGCATTCACAAAGCTTCTCACAGGATGGAATATTTAATAGAAAGAATATCAAATTAAGATAAAAGAGATAAAGACACAATAAATAGAAGAAAGCATGTAATATGTTGAATTCAATTTTTCAACCTTTCCAATAAGGAAACTTTTCAATAAAATTCTTTTTCAATGAAACAAATGAGGGATTTATTGAATCATAGCAAGATTCATACCTGTTAGCCCTTTATTCTTGTTACTTGTTCAGCAATCAGTGAGCTTTAATACATTTTTATGACCATAATTTTTCGCCATAAATACAACGATAAATCACGGTTCGAAAAAGAGCTTCTTTTGTTGTTCAGATTTATAAATGAGGTTCATGAAACAAGTACGAACGTGGCGTGGGCGAAATATGAAAGCTACATATCATAACGTAACAGGATTTATTTGATTCTCATTCATTGCCAATTTCCTTTGCCCTTCTATTTATTCCTCTGTTATTTGTCTCCCCTTTTAGTCTTGCCATTTCGAATGAAACTGTTTTGTTAGGGAAAAAGTCAACCAACACCAAGATTAAATGAATATTTCATGCCAATGTAAAAATTCAACAAAAAGGAATTTGCGAAGGTGAAGAAAAAGGTTGTTAGCGTTTCACAAAAAGAAGCAAAAGTGCTGGTAAACATATTTTATGTCGCTATTCTGTATAAAATAATTTTTTTATTGCACGCTCAAGACAGCGGCAAAGCAACCATGTGTCGCCAAAGGAATGGGGATGCACGAAATACTTTTTCTTTCTCAACAGATCTACAAGTTATCCTTAAAGTCTTTTTGATACAAACCGGGGAATCCTTTAGGTGCTACATAAACTTTAGAGAGTTGGTGAATCTTTTTGATATAAATCAATGAAATCAAGAAAGAAAAAGGTCAAAGCTTAAAGATTCGAAAGGTTGTTATGAAAAGTCACAACCACCTTCATTATGTAAATATAAGAACAACCCCAAAAAGTATTAAAGAAAGGCGATCATAAAAATGTCAACATAAAATGATGTTGAAGCTTTACATCCTAATATATAAATTTATATGTAATATATAAGATGCAATAGTAAATTGCCTTGGGAAACAATATGCTTAAGAAAAGACTGTCAACACATTTTCAACACTAATCCCCATCATTAGTGCGAATACAGTTTCTCTCGTCCTATAGTTGAGAAAATAAAACGAATTTTTTTAATATTATGTAGCCAAATGTGCCGCTTTTTGCTTCTCTGTAACATCATAATCTAGAACAAGTCGAAGCTTGAGACATTCAATATAATCAGCATGGTTTTTGCGAAGCATTTTCCTTGAAAAATGTCTCTGCTGATGACAATGTTGATATGAGGAAGCTGAGAAATTGTCTTCCATAACATGTGTTGAACTGTTAGTGGTGAAGAAAAACCTTAAAGTATTTATAAATTGTGGTTAACATATTAAAAATTTCTCTAAATAGATATTTAATGTTTCTTTAAGAATTTTCTTCAAAGTTACATTACAAAGCTAACATTTAAAACTTGTGAAATTGTGAACTTTGAATTATTGAACGTAAGATCTACTTCGAATTATTTTTCTGTATCAAAAGGCGGAGTTTGAATGAGAAAAATATCTTAATTAAGAGAGAAATATCAAAAATTACACTTTATCGTCATCAACAAAGTCTAAACATTGAACAACTGAAAGTGCGCGAAGTGTAACGTGTCTGTTTCATAAAAATACGCGATGAGACAACTCGTCTTAATTTTTTTATTTAGTATATTCATTAAAGAGTGTAAGTAAATCATTTTCAATTCTATTAGATTTGTTAGAAGTGAAAATTTCAGATTAGAAATTTTAGAATCTGATATTTAATACCATTTCCGCATATGATGCATTTAAATTTGTCACCATATCTATGTCTTTTGAATTTACGTGATCTCAATAAGAAAAATAATTTTGTGATATTTTTAGCATTTCGTAATGAAAAAATTGTTTGTCTTTAAATAGCAAATCTACAAAGTTTCAATGCTGGAGATGGAGGAGACGGTGGCACGGGGGTTTCTAGAGGAGGAGATGGTGGCAATGGAGGTAGTACTACTGGGGTTGATGCAAATGCTGGAAATGGTGGTGAAGGCGGTGACGCTACAGGCATCGGCGGCATAGGTGGCAATGGTGGAAGCGGCGGCAATAGTCAATTTGGTGACGCTGGTGATGGTGGGAATGGCGGAAATGGAGGTCCATGTGGAGTTGGCGGGAATGGAGGAAATGGCGGGACAAGCATTAACGGCAATGGTGGTGATGGTGGCGATGGTGGGGATGGTGGCACAGTGGGAACTGGTGGAAATGGAGGAAATGGAGTAATCAATGGACAATTTGGAAATGATGGAAATCCTATATCATTTGATTGTTCAAATTATGATCCAAATAGCAATACTGGTGGTACTGGCGGAGATGGAGGTGATGGCGGTAATGGAGGAAGTGGTGGATTGGGAGGATCTGGAGGGTTTGGTGGACATGGAGGATGGGCAACTGCCGATGGCGACGGCGGTGATGGAGGAGACGGCGGGAATGGTGGCGCAGGTTGGGATGATGGACCAGGAGGAAATGGGGGATGGGGAGGTCACGGTGGAGATGGCGGATTTCAAGGAGATGGGGGATCAGGAGGTGAAGGTGGAGATGCAGGATCAGGGGGTGATCAAGGTTGGGGAGGCGACGGCGGACATGCAGGATTTGGTGGACATGGTGGAATTGAAGGTGATGGCGGAGAAGGAGGTGATGGCGGCGGAGGTGGAGATGGTTCAGCTACTGCAAATGGTGGATATGGTGGGTATGGCGGTCATGGGGGACAAGGTGGTGATACAGCCGATGGTGGAAATGGGGGTAGAGGCGGTTCTGGTGGCAATGCTGGGAGCGGCGCTGGTGGAGACGGTGGAAACGCTGGAAATGGAGGAAACGGAGGACGCAAAATATGTGTTGAAATGACAACCACTACAACTGTTGCCCCAACAGATCCACCGACGGATCCCCCAACAGATCCACCGACGGATCCCCCAACAGATCCACCGACAGAAGGTAAATAAACAAAAAAGCAATCTTCATACAGAAATTAATTTACAATTTTATATTTTTAGTCAGGAATTGTACACTTTGTACCCTTGAAGATCTTGAAAAATTAAATTTCATTGAATGGAAAATTCAAATTTGGGACAACATAGCACTTCCTGTTCTTGCCTGTTTGTAGCTGTTTCTTTTTGCAAGTGGACATGATAAATCATGTAAAAGATTATTCAAAAAATTTGACCAATTTAACGATAAATTTTTGAGTAATTAATAAATTGCCAAATCATTGATTTAACATAACTTTGGCATAGAATTAAAAAATCTTCTCCAAGTAGTTTATATTTCAGAGATCTTCAATTTTGTACCTGGCAATTTGTTTAAAACAAAAAAGAAACCGTAATTCCTCTATACATAGTTAACATGTAACATGTTCATCGATTTAATTAAGTTCATTTCCTTAATGTTTAACAATAAGAAGAATCATGTTTAAAACTTGCAGGCAGAAATATTATAAGAAAGATTCTCAAACTTTTCTCTTCTCTCTCTCTGGTTCAACTTCTCTTTGTCTTTCAAGCATGCTTCCGAGTTTTTCTTCAAGTTATCTCGTCGCCTATATAATGTTTAACGTGGGAATTTTGTCGCTTTCAAGAGGAAAAGTTTGAGTTTTCCTTTCAAGATTTATGGGAAGTAATATTTTTTATTTTTAAGGAAGATTTGATAAGAAGAATGTTCCATGAGTGTCTGCCTTCAATTCTTATCTCTTTATCTTGACTTTAATTTTCATAAGAAAATCTCAGACAAAAGTAACACGGCTCATTTTTTTTGTGAGCATTTAAGTATAAAACAACTTAAAGAAGAAAAAGTTGCTTCCATTAAAACAAGACATTTACGTAATCAAACAATATGAAAACATGTTGGAAACATATTTTTGTTTTCATGTATTTTTAGTTGTGAATTCTTTTTTCCATTGTTGAAATATCCTCGTGACATGATTGGTGCAACGAAGTTGTTAACATTGCAAGTTTGCCAAGCTTATATCAATGTACACACTCACTTAATATCATCAGAATCAATTCACTTTACAAAACACGAGTTTGAAATAAAAATTCTAAATGAATACATCAACAGATTATTTTAAAAGTTTCTGTTGAAATTATTTCAAGCATTGAGTATACAAGTGCAGCTCAATTCAATTTTTTTTTGTGAATCATTGTGCAGGTAATTCAAATATTTTTGTCCATATATGGTTTAAAAATGTTTTTCTACGATATTGTTGTTGGAATGATGACAAATGAGTCTGTATTGGGTCACAGTTGCATGAATTGAAAAATTTATTATCTTTTTCAGTACAATTTGCATTTTATATATTTTCATATGTTAAATGATATCAATAAAAAAGAAAAACATTTCATGCATCAGAAATTTTTGATTCAACATTGGAAAGTAGTGAAAAGTTTTATTACAATTTATGGCACATTCAGTTCTGATTTAAGCGTTGTTTGGGCCGGTATTTTCCTTTTTGATTTATCTTGAAGTTTTCCTTCTTAAAAGTATGCTTTTCAAGTCTTTACTTTACTTGTCATTCATTATGGTATGTTTTGTGATGAAAAGATGTTCTGACAGTTTTGAAAACACCACGAGAAGAAAAAATTGAATAAAATGTTAAATTAATTATCTATCAAGGTTGAGTAATATTTTATCAGTTCACAGCAAACCTTTTTGGAGTAACGAACACGAGTGGGAGCTGGAAGGGAAAAGAAGACAAATGTTACAACCACAAGTAAAGCAAATGAAAAATCGGTGGAATGGTTTTGAAATTTCTTTTTTTTACTTATCCAATGCACAAACATATTTAATAAATTGTCAACTTTTCAACGATTTTTGGTTTTCTAAAATCAATCGGAAGTGGAAAAAAAAGTTTTAAAATCAAAACTCCACAGTAAACCAAAATAAGAAACACCTGAGAAAAATTCAAAGTGAAGTTGGATTATTTATCACTTAAAAAGTATAAAATGACAGAAATGAAAAAAGCAAAATAAATTTATTTTCTTATTGCCTTAAGAAAACATAAGCAAAGAAAGAATTCTTAATGGATTTCTTGCTTTCAGCAATAAACTCTTGTCGCTGTTGAATTTGTTATGCAACTCAACCCAAAACTCTTCAATCACAGTTCGCGATGCTTGCTACGGTTGCTTCTTTCGAGTTGGCGTACTCACTCCAGGCCCTACTTTATTAAATCAGCTCAGTCAATGTGCAAGTCTTTATCTGTCGAACACAAGCTACGCTGGATGTGCCACACAACTTGCTGTAAGTGATTCAAGTTCAAAATTAAGTGTTAGACCCACCTCATTGTTGTCATTGCGCTTTTATGTTATGACCAACTAGGTCGCTTCACTTACTTTCCAATTTCATCCATGTACATTATCTTTTGTATGCTTTTGACGGCAATTTTTGGTGAACAATTGCCATCGAAACGACCGAGAGATTATTTTCACGCAATTAGATTAACGTGCAATTTTCGAGAACAAGCAAACAATTGCTCATGAAATTCCAAACTGGTGTTAATGGTAATGAAGGTACGTTCTATGACTTCTTTTTTCTTTCCCTCTCTTTAGTCTTTAGTGAGCGGAGTTCGGCCGACAACATCACCAACATTTCCGCATCAATGCTACACAGGATACTGCGAATTTGTACGTTGTGTTCGTCGCATTAACGCAAATGTTTTGGTATGTTGATGACATTTATTGTGCACTTTGTTCGACTTCATTAAAATGAAGTTTTTTTTTAAATTTATATTTTAAGGTTGACAATTGCTTGCTCGAGAATATTGCTAGAAATCTCTCGACACAACAAGATCGAGTTAGTTTTTACACCAACATCACGAGTTGCATTCTTGCGAGATCTCGTTGCAACGCGTATAATCCCATCACAGGCGAATTACAACCGGGAAACAAATATCCTCACGGTGTCTCATCGCAAACATTCCTTGCAAATGCATTACAGATAACCGCGTCAGGGGATTTGCGAGTAATTTCATTCTCACAGAAAGTTGGTGTTTCTAATCTATTTTGCTCAGCACAACCGACGCTTGATCAAGCTGGTTACGGTGTTACGACATGTTAGCATCACAGCTTCAATAAACATCATCTAGTCTCAAAGACTTCTTTACTTTTCAATCTAAATATTTGAAAACACTTTTAAAAATTTACAGCTTCATTCCTAAACTTTCAAATTGATTTTTCGTCTTCTTTCATTGCTTCTTCTTCATCTTGAAAGTGTCGCAAAAACCTTTTTATTGCTGTTCATAATTTGATTTTCAATGATTCTTTCAAGTTTATCGTTTAAAATTCTAGTGCTATGTGTTGGTTGCGAAGCAAAACGAATATGAACATTCTAAATTTAATGATCCATCAAATGAATGCTTTTCAACATATTTCAGTTTCCAACCTGAGCTCGTTTTTCTTTCTTTTTCTCTTTTTAAGTTTCGTGATTTTCATTCCTTTTTCCCATATTCAATTACGACGCAAGTTGAACGAATTAAAGGCAGCGAATTTGAATTGAACATTAAAATTTTCTCTCAAATACATTCGATAAAATTCTGTGGAACTTCAACAATCAGTCGGTAATTTTGTGAATTGAATCTACATACAGAAATTCATCTTAAACACTCACTTTTATCGTAGTCATAAATATCAAAGAAATTTTATTCTACAAATTTATCTTAATGATGATATACGAGTTCGCATAAATGTTTTCTTCTCTCAACGCATGTAGTCAATTGACGAGGCTTTCTTTCATTCTTGTCAGCATTTTTCATTCTTCCTTTTTATTTTATTTTATTTTATCTCATGTCTTGTGGAAATTTCTTTTTTATCTTTAACTTCAAAATTTTCTTTTCTTTTGAATTCATGAATTTCCATTGCTACCATTTGCACATGTTAATAGAAAAAAAATCACAGAAAAGTTTCTTTGCTCAGCAATTTCTAAGTGACATTGAATACCCAACTGAAGAGATGAAAATTGAAGTTAATCGAATTGATTATTGAAAGAAGTTCACGAAATATCAGAAACTTCATCAATACAATGTTTACAGCAAACCAATTCAAAACGAATCTTTCAATTCCTTTGGAAGATGAATATAAAGATCTAAATTGGCTCTTTAAAAATGCTAATATGGTCGTCGACGTGCCAAGAATATTAATTACGAGCCAGAGTCACTTCATACATGTTTATAAAAATATAAATTCGAAATTCTCCTTCTCAACACTTGAGACACGTTCCTTGTATATTTATTTATATTTTTGCTTTCTCCAACCAACTCGCCTTTCCTTTTGCCTTTCGATATTAAAAGATATTCATGCATATCTTTTCTGCTGCCTTTAATCTTGCAAGAAGTCAAACGACGAATAAAATGAAAAGAAAATTTGAGACCGTAGTCCTTTTTTCCTGCTAAAAAAGCAGAAATATCATCAAAGGGTCGTTAAAGTCCTTTAACGTAAATTGCAATAAGTATGTTGAATGTTTACATAGCCATTTAAGCTCGAGGATAGGATCGAAAAATGTTGTAATCTGACCTTTTACTGATGATCTCTTATCAATAAATAATCTCATCACTTAATCACAGCATTTCGTTTCTTTGAAATTTGAATAATCATATTTAATATAAAACTCGAGCCTAATTGATGAAAATTTCTCTGTCTGAATGAAATCAACGTCAAAATGTTGAAATTGTTAAAGAGAAAAAATCGATCAATCAATGTTCAAATCATTGTATGAATTTGAATAAATAAAATTCTGCTCAAACTACCAAATCCAAATATTCTTTGACAAATTCTTCCGCAATAGGATCTTGAAGGTTTATAAAAAAGTACTTTTGTTGAGCGACTTATGTTAAAGGCTTTATATTGAGCATTTTTACCCATTTTTATGAATGAGTTTCCAGGAAGGGAAATAAAGCGTTCCTCAAGTAGTTTAATTGGATTTAGGAGAGACTTTCTTTATTCAGATGTTTGTGATATCGAAAGTTTGAACTCGATTTTGATATCAATCCAGTAATTTGAGAACTCATGAACAGTCATGTGAACCCTTTGATAGTGAAACGTGAATAGTTTTTGATATTAGAATATATGCTGCAATTTTAATCTTTTAATCCGCTTATGTTGGAAGCATACTTCGATTTTATTTATTTTTCTAAGCTTCATTTTATTCGTCACGAAACGCAACTTTATCACATGGAAATTGTGCAGTTGGAAACATGATTTATTTGGATTTTAAGTGGTTTCAATTCTATCGACTTTACTTCAATGTCTCGTAATGTAATTAAACGAGTGGACTTTTAATATTGCAAAATAACGTCAAGGAAACCATTAAAGTTACTTAAAAACTTCTAAACTAGAATTAATTTCGAAGTGAAGTTTCCTTCTTTGATATTTCTACTTGAATCGTGATAGCTGTTAACATTCATTAGTTAAACGATTAATTCAACGATAGTAAAATTGTTATTGTCGATTTGTGGTCATTTTGTTATGAAACTTTTTGAATTTTCCAACAATTTTTTATGATGTGGTTCTAGTATTTGGCAAATACTTTCGTTGTCGGTAGTAAAACTTTATCTTTTGTGAAGTTTTTTTCCCTTTATTTGGAGAGTCGTTGAAAGCATTTTATGTGCATTTTCAAGCATCCAAAACACGATACATTTGAAGAATGTTTTTAAGTTTTTAACGCGAAAAAGAAAATTTTGTCTAATTGAATGCTGAATAAAAAACACCACAAAATGTGGAAAAAATTTTTAATCATTTTTGGCTTTTTCAACCAACAAGCGAGTTAATTTTTTTCACTTAAATTTCCACAGTGCTTGTCACATTTTGAACATGGTTTGACTTTATAAAAACAGGAAATATCAATAAGTGCTTCTGTTTACGTGAAATGCAATAATAAACATCATTAATAGTCATTAAATGTTCAACCCTTCGCTTTAATTTAATTTTCTCAAAAAAGCGAAAGGAAAGCAGCAAATGGAAAGGAAAAAGTTTCCTCGTTTGTTGAGAGCAAAACGTTGTTACGACTCTTAACAAAAATCTACTTTCAGCAAGCATATGAAAGAAATCCGAAAGGAACTATCTCGATGAGAAAAACTTTTCCTTTCCACTCGAGTAGAACAAAGCTCTACAAGGAATTAAATCATGGATAATTAACGTTCTGTTGTTTTTCTCAGAAAGAAAAACTTTTTCATTCGATACAATTCGCTCATCCTTCTCTTCCGCCAACAGATGATTTCTTGATATGAAATTACGATTAGCGACAACGAAGAAGAAGTCACCAGAGATCTCTTTTATGCTTGTTTTCAATGGAAAACTTTTCCAATCGACATGAATGAGTATGTAAGAAACAAACAACATTATCATGAATATTTGATCAATTTTTTGTTTTTCCTCCTACGACCACACTTAATTTTGTAAATGAAAACACTTTTAAAATAAATAGCCTGCAAACTTTTTGAATTAAAATCATCACGCAAATTAAAGTCTTGTTTATAAACATGCAACAGATATCAAAAGTTTTTGTGATAATAAATCATAAGTTAAAGTTTCTCAAATTGTATTATAAAGTGCAATGCTAAAATAAACTTTAGAACTTGAAAGTTTGTTGTTAAAAACTTTGCAGCATTTCAATTCTTTCTCGCATTTGATTTTCGAACAAACTTAAATCTCAATTCACATCAATTCTAATAAAGTTCTAGAAATTTTCGAAGACCATTCTGTGTTAAGTGCTTCCTTCCCTTTAATTATTTGTTCGCAGTCATCTTTAAATTTCTATAATTTTAGTAAAAAAGTTGAAAGAAACGGAATCGCAAAAATCTCTCAAAGTACTTAAAGAAATTGAAATATCGAAAAAGTTATTAATGGAATGTCTCTAAATGGAAACAGAAGTCTTATTAAAATCTTAGAAAAAGGAAGACAATAGAAAACAACAACAGCAAGAATGATTCGTACTTAAATTCGGACCATCCCCACTCGAGACACAAATGCTGTATAATGTTACGTACATTAATTTAAATTTTAATTTTGTCTATTTTTGGTAAACACAAACATAAGATGGAAATAAAGAATGCTCTATCATTGTAATACATTTTACAAGATTATCATTTTTCAAATGTTGAGGATATTATGGTGGGTAAGCAAGGAAAGAAGTTCCGGCTTTTTTAATGTCAACTTTTTCTTTTTTATTTTGAGTTTGTGCAGAACAGAGAAAACATTCCTGCTTGAATCTCGAATTGAGACTTGTGCCTTAAAGTTATGAAAAATGTTTTTCAATTCATGGAATTGTTTCTCTTCTTTCTTCACAGTGGCAAATAAATATCATCACAAAAGGAAATTTCTTATTTACAAATGATCCTGAATTCACAGCATGAAAAAGTGTACATAAAAGTGAAAGAAATTTCAATTAATTTCAATCCTTGAAGTGAGAATGTTCAGCCACCGTCTATTTTCGCAGACAGCTGCCAATAAAGAAAATAAAACTTCAACGAAAAATGATTCTGCAGAATATAGCAGAGAGTGTTAAGGGCATTTTGAAGGATATTTCCAATCTTTAATCATTTATAAGTAGCTTCAAACAAAGGAAATAATGATAGGAACATCTAAGTAGGATAAAAATAAAAAGAGCTTTGTAATAATGTTATTGGTAAAATTTGTCATTTGAGGATATGACAATTGCCATGAAGGAAGCAAAAATGAAAACATTAACATTGCCATTCAACGTGCAACCAATAAAATAAATTGATTTCTAACAATAGTATTACAGAGCAATAATCAAAATGTTTTCCAGTTGTTATAACAGTAAAAACCGTTTCTGACATCATCAACACAAATTGAATCCTTTTAAGACATATTTTGTCTTCGGAAGAGCGGAAAACAATCTTCAATCTTTTTTTTTGTGAGGTGCAAGGAACGCTTTCCGCACAAAACAGAGATTTTGAGATTTTTTTCATTCATTCTTCTCCAACTAAACGTTCATCAACTTGAGAGACTCGTTAACGTCAAGAATAACTTCCATTACATTTCTATCAAGGAAATAAATTTGAGACGTTATGCCAGAGAGTTGAATAAAGAATACAAAGGAGAAAGTAACAAATTTCTACAAAAGTAGGAGAAAAATTGTTGCTTCACTGAAAAACTTTTGAAACGTGACGTCAATGAATATGAAAGCGTCAAGGATCTTGAAAAATTTATTGGAAGGGTCTGGTTTATGGATGAAAGCTCGCACAGAATATCAAAGTATTGACTAGTATTGTAAAATCTGATGAAGAAAAAAATAATTCAAGCATTCAATTATGAAACAAAACATCAACAGATTTATGCTGCTTTTGTAAGTTAAGAAGAAAAACATTTCTTATGATAACAACATTCAACGACTCATGATATCAGCAATTTCTTCAAAGCTTTTTCACATGTTTTTGGGGATGAAAAATATCACAAAAATTCCACCAAGGATTGAGTTTACAGCAAAGAAATACATTGGACCACCTTGACCGAATTCGTTTGTTAAAAGGCTGCTTAGATTGAAGACAACGATGAGAAAAATCCATGACGTTGACGTACAAATAGTCAGAATGTAATCTCTGATCTGTTGAATGTAAAGACGAAACGATTTTCTAATCCAACTCATTACTCTTCATAGGAAGAAAATCAAAACTTACTGTCGATGGTGCAATCTCCGAAATGATTGCGAAAGTTAAAGGAAACGAGCCAAGACTTGCTAAGAAGATTGCCATTGATATAACAAAAATCGGAATTGATTTTAAAAAGTTGGAATTGTAGCCATGTTCCATCAGTTGCGCTGCTACTCCAAATATTATCATGCTGGTGGCGATACCAAAAGCAGCGAAGCATTGAAGGTTTTTCCGCTCAAATCTCTCGACAAGAAATATTGATAAGAAAGCGCCTAAAAGAAGCAGAAATCCAATGCCAATCGTTGCGTGCTCAGGAGAAATGCTTGTGGCGTTACATCGTTCAAGAACACTTGCTGCAAAGAAGAGTAAAAAATAACATCCACCGAGTTGTTCTAAGGCCACCAATCCAATTCCAACCAATATTGATTTCATTGCCTCTCGTGATACTTTTGATGTCAAATCGAGGGAGAAAAAAGAATTGTTAACGATTGTTCTCATTAATCACAATATCTACCGGCGAAATAACATAAAACAACTTACGAAAATCTTCTTTCCCAATCATCTCACGTAAAAGGCTTTCTTTCTTAACATATCGTTGTAAACTCTCGAATTCCACAGCACCGTAACCCGTTAAGCTTATGAATCCACGATAAAACATAAGAGATTCCTTTGCTTCCTGTTAAATAATAATAAATTTCCTTTCATCCGGAAGGTAAATAAAAATAAAAAAATTATCAACCTCGAGTTTGTTCTTGTTGAGTAGATAATAAGGAGACTCCTTGAGCATCGTAGATAATGCAAGAAAAAGAATTGGGAATGCAATGTAGATCCACAAACATAAATCGTAGCGCATGAAAGCACCGACAATGTAAGACAACAAAAGTCCAATACCACCCATCAACATGAACATTGCACTCAACATGCTTCGCATCCTGCCGATAAACAAACTAATAATAATTTACTAATAAATAAATATTTCAAATACAAACATCTCTTCTGCAATTTCGGACACGAATAAAGGTGCAGAACAGAAAAGTGCACCAGTTGAGACGCCGGCAAGGACTCTTGAAAATAAAATTGTTTGAGTTTCCGTGCTGAAAGTGATAAAAAGAAAACTTCCAATTTGAGATATGGCGATTGTTCGTAACGCCCAATTACATCCAATTTTATCACAGACATATCCATAGGTTAATGATCCAATTAATCCACCCACGCAGTACATTGAATTTATGAAGCTTGATTCTAGAAATTTCAACAAAACGTCAACAAAATTTTTCCTTTTCTCGTTTTTTTCTTTTGTTTTACCCCCTGGCGTTAAACTTCCTGATTCTAAGTCAGAATGTTTTGACTCTAAGAACTTGATGCCACTTGATGACTTCAAAACAATAAGAAAATGTCAACGAAGGAAAATAAATCTTATTTAGATAGTTAAAGTTGAAAGTGGAAAGTTTGTGTTTTTATTTTATGACGCACTTACCCATCCCACCAATGCACCCAATGTACATGATAGCAGATTAACTGTGAGAGTTGAAAGAATTTGTTTTTCTTCACCACTTAAATACATTAGTGAAGTTCTAGGAAGGATGAAACCGAAAGTGAAAAGAAACTTTTAAATTTATTTATTCTTAAAAAATGTTAATGCGCTCTGAGATTATTTTTCCCGCTTTGTTTTATTCTTCGTTAGTATCAATTCATTTCTACACAGATAATCAACGTCATTGATCGAGTGTCTGCAAAATATCCTGAAAGCTCTTTCCTTTTGTCTCCGGCACATACCACATCACAAACAAACCACCCACGAAGGAGTTAATTGAAAAGATAATCATCATGCCACTCACACTGAATAGGTCAATCATTGATTCCGAATACTTCAATATGACAAAAGCGAAAACCCATGAGAGGCAGAGACAGAATGTGTAGATGTAACTTTTAATCTGGAATCATTTGTTGTTGCAGGTTGAGTTTTGAATAGAATGTTTATCTATGTACTTACATTAGGTAACGCTGTCATCAATTCACTCATAACAAGAAATGGAAGCGTTAACACTCCTAAATTAGCTGTCCACAAACCAAACGAAAGACTCAAAAGTGGAATCCAATTTAAATATGATGCTTCATTGCTTTGATTAATGATATAACTAGACAAGGCAAACACAAACATTCCAGATGAAATTCCAAACGCTGAAAAGCTGATTAGGAATCGCCTTCCTTTTTTATCAACGAAGATTGTTGAGCACCAAGCACCAATTAGTTGAATTAGTCCAATGACAATTGAAGATTCATTTGGCGTGAGACTTGAACCAGAATGTTCAAAAATTGTTGAGACAAAGAACAGAAGTGCGAACACTCCACTGAATTGTTCAAGAAACATTAATCCTATTCCGATAATTAAGACTTTTTTTGCTGGATGAGTGACTGTTGATTAGAAATTAAATTAAATTAAATGAAATTAAAAATGATAATGAATGAAAAAAAAGTTCTCACGAAAATCTTTCAGTTCAACGCCAGTGCTGATTGTCTGTTGGCTTATTAAAGATTTGATGCTTTCAAACTCTGCTTTCAATTGCTGAGTGAATTCGTTTCCATCATCAGATGTCTGTTTCACTGTACGGTAAAATTTTAAAGATTTTTCAGCTTCCTAAGGCAATAAATAAATGAAAGAAAGAATTTTAAACCTTTTCATTCTCTCTTACACGATTCATCTCCTTTTTGATGAGATAGTGTGCTGATTCCGGATGAAACATCGTCCCAATTAAGAACAACATTGAAATTGGAGTGAATATAAATGGAAGAGTTGAGAAAGGGAGAAATGTGCCACATATGTAGGCGAAGAGAATGCCAGCACCAGATGCCATCACAAAGACAGATCCAAGCCTACCTCGTATGCTGAAACATAATAGCTTTGAGAATAAAAGAAAATATTCATCTCAATGAGATACAAACCTGTCATCAGAAATTTCTGATATGAAAAGTGGAATGACTATATACAAACCACCCCCACTTAATCCACCCAAAAATCTTGAAACAAGAATGTAAAGCCAACTTTGGGCAAATACAATCAATGTCCATGAGATGATTTGCGGAATGGCAATAACTATGAGAGATCTCTTCCTACCGATTTGTTCCGTCAACTAATAATTTATGGTCAATCATTTGCAAAGCAAAAAACAGAGAACTTTATTGTTTAACTCACCCAGCCGAAGATTAATGAACCTGGAAGAGAAATATTTTATATTGTACCGTATATTTAATCAAACAATCTAAAACATTTATCGCAATTAAGAGAGTTAACTCTAATGGTAAAGTAAGAAAACAATGAACAACCCCGACCTTGGTTTTAATTTAATGTTTGACTAGACTTTAATGAAAACGAAACCTGTCTGGCTTAATCTCTTGAAATTAATTTTCTCCGAATGCATCAAAAGTTAACAATTTCTTGCTTACCTAACAATCCTCCGATGCTGAAGCTTGACTGTATCCAAGATGATTCTATTTGTGTGTGTGTGTAAAGTTTTAATTATGAGATAATCTTCTGGGAAGTTTTATTAAAAATAATTGCAATTAACAACCTTCTTTTGTTAGTGCGTCGGTCAAGACTGTTTGATTTGATGCAAGTAGAGGAAGATTACTGCTGGCCCATCCAACGCTCGTTCCATAAGCGAATGATAATAAGTTGGCACAGAGTGTTGTAAATATTTGCCGTTGAACTCCACTAAGCCACATTATTATCTTCCTTATCGCTTTTATCAGAATGTGGAATTAATTTGGTGTAGAATAAATATCACGAACTTCAGATATCTATGAACATATCAAGACTGAACATCTTTCATTTATTTCGTGTTTCTAACGTACGTACACATCAGTCATTTGCTAAACGATGAATGAATCTCTTCAGCTCGATAATTAAAAAGCACACACACGATTACACAACGAAATTGATCAAATATTTACACAAATATATTCATTTTCTAAATATCATGTTTTTCTTATTCAGATCAGATCTAAGATCGAAGCGCGTATGCGAAAGTACTTGTTCTGATATCGATATCAAGCAATGAAGTGGAAGATGTTTTATTTTTCTTATGTGTGTATTCTTTGTATGAAATTTATTGACATCTTAAGCGTTGAATCGGTTTGTTTTGGTTTTGTGCTTCACTGAAATAATCAATAACTAAGTTTTTTCGACAAACAAAATGTGAGTTGCTTATGAGAATTTTATTCCGTCACTGAAATGGGAAATTGGCCTCGCATTATTTTCTTGTTTCTGCTCTTCCCTCTCAATTTTCCATCCAAAAATGTTTCCTTCTCTTTTATTTTTATTTTATTCAAAGCAGAATGAGAAACAGAAAAATTCTTTACGCAAATAACCAAGCGCGGGTATCAGTGAAGTTGAACTTTCTCATGCTTATTTAGGGATGTCAATTGTCAATTAAAAATGTTTTTAAATTTCTTCTTTTATTATTATTGAAATACTTTAATATCTAATTGATTCAAAATCCAATTAAGAAAATTATTTTTAAAATAAATTAATAGATAAAAATCACAACCATTCGACATCTCTCAGCTCAGTGACAATTTGTTTTCTTTAGGGATAAACAGATCATGTTTCAATTTGAGGCATTTACAAAGTCTTGCGAGAAAGGCACAAACGAAGATGAATGTCGCAACTCAATAAAAAGTTATTACCGATATGGATCTCAATTATTGCTGTAAAAAATTAAATTGTTAACACGATACAGTCTTGTATTGTATTGTGTCGTATCTAAGTCTTTCGAAGCTGCTAACAAGAAGAACTCAATGAATTTTTATTATATCTTATTCACATTGTTCTAGCCGAGAAATCTGATATAATCTCGTTTATTATAACAATCACTGCTAATGGGCAGACGACATTCATTTCGCTATAATTTTTTGTATCTCTTCGATGCTTTTGTTTTTAGTTTCTGGTACGAAGACGATTACAAAAATTGCGCCAATAAAGCATACCGATGCAAAGCTCAACATCACAATGTAAATGTCCAACACTTGGATTGCTATTGGCAAGAACTTTAAAAGAGAAAGAAAGGAAATTGAAATCACATTTTAATCGAGTTCAAATCATTACTTGAAACAAAACAAACTCCAGTATCCATGAAAAGGTAATGCTTATCGAATACACGATGTCTTTAATCTTTAATGGTGAAATTTCAGTGATGACAACTACGGGCAACGACACCACACCTGCAAAAGGGTAAGAAAGAAATAAATTTTCAAACATAATCGTCAATTATTCTATAACACGACACGTTACCGATATTTGCAAAGAAAACTACAGAAGAGAAACAAGCTAATGGAATCCAATTGTAGTCTGACACGTCCATGCCTTGATGTTTTAAAAAGTCATAAATGGCGAAAAGTGTCATGCCTAATGCACAACAGAGGGAAGACGATATTAATAAAAACTTTCTTCCTGCACGGTCGACGAGAAGTGTTGAAGCATAAACGCCCACGATTTGAATGCCGCCAACGATAATTGCCGATGAGTTTGGGGAGAGTGAAGAACCGGCTTCGTCAAAAATCATCGAAGCGTAACTTAAAAGAGCGAAAACTCCACTAAGAAGTTCTGTAAAGGGACATTTTCATTTTTATTCTGGCTTTTCTTGTTTTTCTTGTGAAAACAGAACAAGAAAACATTTTATGACGTACCCAAGCAAATTAATGCAAGTCCTATGAGCATTGCTTTTCTCGCTGCTTTTGTCACTGAAATCAGAGTCAATATTGATTTTCAACTCGAAATTTTTGCCTTTCTTAGTTCTCACAGAAATCCCCAAAGGTAATTCTGCCTCCCGTAGAGTCGCTATTTGTTGTTTTTATCAAACTTGTCATGTTGTCATACTCTAACTTCAATTTGCTATTCATCTCTCCCACGTCCTTGGAGAAGCCTCGATAAAATTTCAACGCATTTTCAGCTCGCTAAATAAAGTTAAAGTAGAAAAAGAAAGAAATTGGATGAGGAGGGTTTTCCATCACTTGAAAATGTTTCCCTTAATGTTATTTACTTAATATAATTTTCAAGAGCATTTGAAACTTTGTCGACTTCATCACACTGTCAATATTCTCTTGAATTCTATTTATAATGATTTTCTTTCAAAAGAAAAAAAAAAGTAAAACATCCAAATTTTACTTTCATTTCTTTGCTTTGTTTTTCTTTTACCTTGAAACGACTTTTTCGCAGAAGATAAATTGGAGAGTCGTGAATAATTATCACACCAGCCAGAAAAGCATTTGTGAACATTACTAAGCATAACGGAAAAATCGTAAAGCTCATGACATCCCCGAGAACATATCCTATTTGAATACCCAAACATAACGCGAATGTTATGAACGTTCCAAGTCTTCCTCTTATTCTGTGGAATACAAAAATATGTCAAAAGTAAATTTATGCATAGAAAAATGAGATGAAAAGGATTTCACTTGAATCTCGTGAGAAAAAGCTAAAGTCATTAGAATAACGTAATTTACAATAAATATTAAAGGTTCACAATCATTACTCATTCGCTCCCTCACCTGTCTTCACTTATTTCAGTGATAAAAATGGGGATGACAACGTAGATACCTGAAAAATTGGGTTGAGAATAAACTTGTAAACTAAGAAAAAGGCAAGTAAGTCTTTAAAAAGGAATCGTTTTCTGTCAACTCATTTGAAGCGCATGTGAAGAGTGGATCATCTTGTTTGACACGACAGACTATAAGCAGGTTATCTTTATCGACCTAAAACATGATGTTGTGTTGTGTTTGTTTCGCATCTTCAAGCACGTTTCTACCATTTTCGTTATCGTCATCAACAAGATGACATTTCATTAGAATTGCTTACCTCCACCAGCAAAACCATGTAAAAAACGTGAAAGAATCAAATATTTTGGATTTGTTGCAAAATAGATGAGAATCCAACCGACCATTTGTGGAACGGCACACGTTACAAGCGCAATTTTTCTTCCATATTTATCAGCGATCTGTTTACGATGATTGAAAATCGATAAAAATCATCAAAGAAATATTCAACGCAAAGCATTTATTAACAATTTTTACCCATCCGTAGCAACACGACGCTATGAAACCACCCACGCAAATTGCTGAGCCGACGATTGAAGATTCTAAGAGTTAATTAGAATTAATTTGATATCAGAAAATTGAATTTAAAGTTTGTTGGAAAACCTTCAATCGTAATTGGACCAGATGCCAATGGACTATCTTGAGATGAGAGAAGCTCATAAGCAGGCGAAAGCCATCCAATGGAAGCACCATAAGAAACCTAAAGAAAGTCACATAAAATATCCAATTATGTATTTAATGGAAATCGTAGAAATTTTAATTAATGCAAGCTCATTAATAAGAAAATTTAGTAACAAGAAAATGTTGTTGTCGACACTTATTTTTGAGTTTTCAAGTTCAAACAATAATCTCACGCGTCGTAGACATTCACAACAACATCTTAAACGCAGCATGATATAAACACTAATTTTCACTGCGCTATTTTATGACGGGCTATCAAATTATCATTATGTTCTTGCTAGGAAAGCTTACAGTTAACAGATTGACACACAAGCTCGTATAAATTTGACTTCCCATGCTGCTTTTCGTCTCCATATCTTCCATTTTATTTAATATCCTTGAGCACCGCTTGAGATCAAGAGATGTACTGAGTGTTACATATCAAGAAATAATTTCACGGCATCATACATTTATTTTTTTTATTTATCTTTCCATTCTTCAATGATGTTACTTATTTTCGTTCAAAGCCTGAGTGTCGACTTATTTAAGCTTGGGGAAGACGACAAGACGTTCTTCCGATTTGTAGTACAATTTAAAGCCATTCTAGTAGATTATGTACAGACTTGTCGTGTTGGAATTAATTTATACTTATCATGTCATTCAAGAAATAAGAGAAGAGAAGGGAAACAAATCATGGAGGTAAGAGAAAATGATGTGAACTTGCGCTAGTCTTACTCTTACCTACCATTCATTAACTCATTAAGAATCTCATTGTAAAATCAACAGAGGCTAACAGAAGCTTTTGTCTCTTGTTATCTATAGTGACTGCTTGTCACTTAAAGATAAATATTATTTTTGCGCTAAATAAAACAGATTAAATCTGATCTGCTTGTTGTTAACTCTACAAAGTAACGCGAGAACTCGCGCGATTCGATTAATGAAGAAAATTGAGAAAATTTCTGAAAATTTCTTCTCCTTTCAAAAACTCAAATTTTAATTAATGCTGAGTAAAGAAAAATTAAAATAAATTTCTTTCTCACATTTTTTGACTTTCTAAAAGATTCTTGTTGAAATGTTTGTTCAAAAACAGGAATCTGAAAAAAATTTGAATAAATATGAGTGGAGTGTGGCTTTGAAATTCTTCTATGTTTATCCGCATCCGCCATGTTTCATCACTCAATTGAGAAACTTTTAAGGACATTAAAATTTGAAGCATCTGCAGACTCGAGCAACCTCGAGTTGGTGTGTCGTAAAACAACATAAAAACGCTTTTTCAATTGCAGCCAAGCATAAACAAAAGTAAATGCCTCGACGTTATTAAATATTTTCTATGATAAAGTCCTTTTAATAGCATTCAAATCTTGTTTTGATGCTCTTACTTCACTCAACATCAAACATGTGAAACAGCAGAAAATGTTACAAAAGGAAATTCTGGTCTCATGACTGAAAAATCATAAGCATACTCATAGAATCATAAACATTTTATGTACGTTTCTTTGAGTCATAAAAATCCATCGCAAATATTTGCCTGAAACAGCTTCATATTGAGCTAAATTTATTTGATGAGAAATATTTTTTGTTGTTGATGGTAGTTTCAATGGAAGATTAGGTGTGTGTAAGGAAATACAAAAGCACATCGCAAAATATTCGTTATTCGCTTATCTAATAAAAAAATTCCTAAAATTTAATTCTGTTAAACGAAACGCCTTCATGAATTGTTGGCTGTGAAATAAATAAAAACAAAAATGTTTCTGTTGAATGACATCCACCCACACACAACTGATTTCATTAAACATTTCAAAATAATTCACACGAAAAACATAATGAAAAATTATTAAAAAAATTCAGGAGATGAATGTCGAATTAATTTTCAAGCACATTTGAGAATATTTTCGACATTCATCTATTTCAGATTGTCAATTAAATGATTTCATTTATTACAGATTTCTACATAATACAAAAAATTTCGTTTTCCATCTTAGATTTGATTCTTTTCATTTCACTAGTTTTCCTTTTAAATAATTCAAAGAATTACATTTGATCACATTTTCATGCTACATATTTACTCATACATGGATGCTCGTAGAATTTGATAAATTAGAATTTACATTACAATTTCAAGGGTATCTTTACAATGTGATGTCAATCTCATTACTAATGTTGCCAACAATGCGACTACAATCGTGATATACTCGTTCATGCATTGTGTCTTGAAACTGTCAGATTTCTGCATCGCCTGTGGATGTTCACCTGTAAATAGTTGTGACATGTTTCAATCTGATTTATGAAAAACTTTCTCAACCACCCTTACCGTTGATGACGTGTACCATGACACTGCTTGATTCTCCCATTGTTGGAACGCAACTGTAATTTCCCGAATCAGATAAACGAGCATTGAGAATTTTCAATCTGAAAATTAGATTTATGCAAAAAGAGAACATGAAGGGTAGAATAAGCAAATAAGAACTCATCTCCATCAGAAATTTAATTCTTTATACCTCGACGTCAAAGCTTCAGTCCATTTAACATCTATTGAAACACGGAGCGGGTACGATAATGCCAAGTCATTAAGTTGAGTTTGATTGATCCGCATCGAACCTTTTTGAATCCGAAAAATGTTAAAAAAAAGTTAACACTTTCAGAATTTGATAGTTGCTTTCAAGTTATTTACCTCGATACCAAACGATGGTGCCCAGATCATGCGGGCCCTGACTTATCACGCATGTTAAAATTACTTTACTTCCCATCTTTACATATAAATCACTTTGTCCTAAAATTATTGCTTTGGCTTCTGATGAATGTCGAAAAGCGATGAAAAAGGAGAAAGCAGACATAAAAAAAGTGGAGAAATTGTGAGATAAGAAAAGTAATTAATAATTGGTGGGTGGGTATGATAATAATCTTTAGTTGTGGGAGTCATTTAAACACTTGATTAAACTTCACATAATTGAAATGCTGAGGAGCGTGGTGATGATCAAAATGTTAGTTAAATGAACCATGTCATAACTTTTCAATGAATCCCCGTAGCCTAATTTTAACAAGTTAACGTTCTTTCACTTTCTTTCACCCACTGAACTAAAGTAAATGAACGAATTAATCGCTTAAATAAAGTCAGTTAGAAAATTCATTAAATGTTGCCATAAATCTTAATTTTAACTTATTCAAATCAGGTGAGAAATTTCTAAAGAATCTTCTTTGATATCTCTTAATTGTGGGAACTGGGTGATGTTAATAATTCACAATTAACTATTTTATCAGACATCTAATTAAATGAATGATATGTTGTATTAAATTTATTAAGCTTTGTTGATTCATTGACCTCATTTCCTGTTTTGTTTCAACTTTTCTTACCTACAACATTAAGCCGATAAGCTAAAGACATTTTTGGCTCTGTTGAGACCTAAACAACATAAGACAAAAATAAATAATGAAAGCAATTTGGAAGTTGATTCTCTTCACCTGACACTCGTAGATTCCACTGTCACGAAGCTGTGCAAATTTTATTTGGAGGGTCCAGTTTTCGGACGGTTCATACTCCACTATCTAAACATGAATGAGACGTAAAATATGACAAAAAAAGATATGAAAACAAACATAAATTCAATTTTGCATAATTTTTCTATTATGGAAACTCTTTTTCAAGAATAGAAATAAAATAAATCATTCATGCGATACAAGAAGACGTGAGATTGTGGGAACTTTTTCAAAATATGCTTTGCGAAAAGGATTTAAAGTCTTCGCTCTCAAACAATATTTGTTAAAGATGTTAAAGTCAAAGTTGATGAAACTTTTAAAGCGAATTTAATCTCCGAAACAAAACATTTTCAAATGCGAATTGGGTCAAAAAAAAATTGATTGAAGAATTTTTTTATTAACTCAAAATATTTTCTTTTATATTTCCTAATAAATATCGGAAAGAACAAAGAAAGCAGAAGCTTTAAAGGCGAGAGACTTCTCGAGAACATAAAGTAGGCCTTTTAAGCACCGAAAAACTGTCGAGATTTCATAAAGGCATCGTCTGTAGCAGGATGGGGAAAATATGATGTTTACCTGAAATCTCTCATCTGATGTGTATGTTGATAAACCAGCACTTAATATATGAAGATCTCTTTTTCGTATCCACGATACCTGCGGGGAAGGAAAATGGAAATATGAAGGGAAAAATCTCTCGATTCTTTTACTACAATGTTTATGGCACCGAAAAGATTATCTTTGAGCTCAAAGAAATTGAAAAGTACATTTAAGCTTATAATATTATCTTCATCGGAACAAAAAGAAACTAAAGCTCACCAATTTATCACCCAGCTGCTCAACTCGACAACTTAAGAAGGCCGTTTGTCCAACGCGTGTCGTTACGTTTCGAGCAACGGAAAAATCAAAAAATGGTTGCGATGAGAAATTTTGATTTATGGTGTTGCTATCGTGAAGGCTGTTTGTGTCTAAGTTTCTGTATGCATGATATGGATCTACGTAACATAAAACAAAACAGAAATGGAAGTAAAAGAGAAGGAGATAAGATTGTGACAAAAGACAACATCAAAGTTTATTTCACTGAGGTGTCAGAACCTTAAGGGAAACTCATAAATCAGTTCAAAGTGAAACTTCTTAAATTTCAGGCTTTTTAGAATAAAAAAGACGTGCTAATAAAATTAGATAACTCAACTTTTTCTTTTAATTACGGATCAAATATCAATTACCTAGTTATCTTAAAAAATTTAGTGTCTATTAAATTTTGATAATTTTCACATCCGTTTCTGTGAAATTAATTTCAGATATTTACATTTAAAAGTTTCGTGAAAGTTTGGCTAATATTTAAAATATTAACACGGCCCAGGGCCAGGGCTAGGAATTCATTTAATAGAAAATTCTTCAAAGAAACTTAAAACTATTCCAAAAAAGGTTTTTTGCGTTTCTAAATTTTTCTTTTCTATTTTCAATCAATCTTTTTTCCCTTGAAATAATGTTAAGTTTGATTCCATAAAGAATTCTTTTATTTTGATCAACCAAGACGTAACGAAACCCTTTCAGATTCTTGAAAATAATTTGAAATTTCTGATTCTATTTCAGGGTTTCGACTAGTTGAGTCTAACTTTTTCAATCTCAACAAACATTTAATTTACTTAAAAGTTATTTAATAAGATTTGTTGGGAAAAAATTCTTTAAGACACAAATTAAAAGTTGAAATCCTTGTGTAAATAATAAATCCAATTTCAAGTGAAAGTGACTTGATGGTTATCTTCGTAGCACCACTTCATAAATAATTTAAATTCTTTTCAAACTTTCAACTCACGTAACTTTATAATTTATGATAATTATTTTTAAATTGATGGATTCGACCTTAGCCTACATAAAATAATGCAAAATACGAATCTCCCTACACTGGAATAATTGTATTAATTTTACTAAACTTGTAATTCAATTATTTTGTGTTTTATTTCAGCTCCTTGTTGATTTTCTATGAAATATTTTTGTTTGTTTTACATGGCCTTTTTGCTAGCAATCTTAATCAAATGAAAATTTAAACAGACCATCAACAAAGGGATATTAAGATTAGATATGTAAATACATATTTAAAGGAGCTTTCCTGTTATTAAAAATTAATCCTAGAAAATTAGATGTGAGAAATGAAGTGGAATTATGTCTCTCATAACATACGAGGTAGAATCTGCTTCTTCTCAAGAATCTCAAAGATTTCGAATAAAAACAGCATTAAAAATTTTGAAATTACTTTTTATATGACTTCACTTCATCTGCTTCAAAAACACATCCTAGCAAGGATCATATTTCGAATATTACTTTCCAAAAAGTTTTGATTGAAAATCAACGTAGAAGGATAAAAATTTCCCTGCTGAATAAATTCTTTTGAGAAATTTTTCTTATTTTTAATATATTTTCTTAGATTATTTTATGTATCCTGATAAGACGTTCGTAGCCATTTTTTAATGCTTCACATTTCATTTTGTTTTCCCCTTTTTTATTGTGATGATGTGTGAAGTTTTCAACATAATTAGATAAGAAAAAGTCTAGTCAAATAACTCTTTGTTTTATTGCATAAGCTTGTGGATTATAAAAACATTCAAGATTTTTTATTCTTCTTTTAAATTTTGAAAGTTTCAATTCATTTCAATTTAATAACAAAAACTTCACATATGAAAACAATTGCGTTTCAATATCACATTTCGTTTTCATTTGATATGCTCCCAAAAAAAATTCATAACGTGTCCGTTATCACATTATTATGCCACACATTTTGACCTTTCTGTCATTCTCTAAATTTTATTACTTGGCCAATTTCTGGAACATCTGATAGCTGTTCTTTGAAAATTTTTTAGACCCTTCACTTTACATTTTTTTACTCCAAATCTGATGAATAATTCGGTTTTAATCCTTTGTTTAATGGCCACAAATAAATTATCCATAATCTATTTTGTTTCGGTTGTTTTAATCTCCCTCATACTTAGATATAAAAATTTTATACTAACCCATTTTGGCATTCATAATATTCAAATTTATATTCATTAACAATAATATTCCCCATATGTGTAACTGCATCTTTTAATAACACTTCCAAAAGAAAATATCCATACAACACTTCATAGTAACTGGCATGATTAGTTGTAAAATTGACATAACTTATGCAATATGCATTATCATCTTAACATGCTTTTAATGGCTTCTTGTAAATGTATATCACTTCAGCATTAAAGCAAGAAACGTTTGTAATTCCCTTGTTGGGTCAAATCCAGGCTAATCCAAAATAATGACATTAACACTCATCCAAGAATTGTTCACTGTCACGTTTATTATGTTTTTTTCTGCTCTTCAATGTTTAATCTTCCGCGTGCGACTGAAGACTGAAGATTTTGCTAAACAACATCAATCTATATGTAAGCATGAAAATTGTTGAAAAATCCTGAGAGCAGAGAGCGAGAGTGTCAAGAAAAGAGAATCAGTTCAATGAAAACATAAAGGAGAACAGTTTGAGAATCTCTGGGAATTTTAATGTTGCAAAAAGCATAATCTAGGTTAAGTTTACGTTCTTCTTGGAATGAATTAGCATTTTCTCCTTCTTCTCTCAACTCTGCTGATGGCTTAGATCTTTTTGTTTCAACTTGTTTCTTTTTTTTTTCTTTCCACTTATCAACGTTGAGTAAAGCAATCTCGAAATATAATTTGCTACTGACCCATCCCGATTCGCATTGTCATAAAAACGGACCAAATTCTCTGCTTCTGATTAAGTATTTTAATACCTAGAAGTAATATCTGGAATCTTCCATGTTTTCACTTTCTTCAGTAATCAGAAATCGTACAAAAACAAGTCGTTTAAAACTTTTCTTATTTGCTTGACATAATTTCTGATGTTACACTTTGTAAACATGTACAAATTGCTCTAGAAAATTGTATTAAATTAAAGTAATTTCATTAAAACGATTTGCAGCAAAGGAGACAAAAAAAGTGAACTAAATCCTCTGTATCCAACAGTTTTGTTTGTTAAACGCAGAAAATTTTCCCCTAAGCACATAAAATTTCGTTTATTCTCGAAGTAAATTGAACGTGACTAACGACAAAGTCAAATTAGTCTATCTAAGTAAGAAAAAGAAGTTAAATTGCTTTATTTTGTTGAGAGCATTGGTTAATATAAATACAATTATATTTTCAATATGACTTGATAAAGAAAAGCTTCAAAGCACAAAATCATTTTTGTTAAAGCAGTTGAATTTCTATAAAGTGCATGATAAAAAGTTGAACTGAAATGCCAAACCTTCATGTTCGTTTTGTTCTCAAATCTATCGACAGCATTGCAAAAATATTTTTTCTCTCACCTTTTAAATCATATTCGATAAACAAACAGCTTCCTAGTTGGAAGCGTGTGACTTTCTGGAACGTGTGGACGATAACAGGATTTTTATTCTACAGCATTTTCCATTTAAGCTACGTCAGTCACAATGACCAACCTACAGTGCGCCCCAAACTCGTTACCGTATTTATTGATATGTACAATAAATATTGCGGGTTAATATTGAATTGTACACTTATAATCGTTGGATTTTTTCAGCAAACTAACATTGCTAACATTAACATGATTTTCGAAGAGATTGAAGAATTCTTTCTGGTGAAGTTGAAGATTAAGATTAAAAATTCAAAGACACTTCGGTGAGTTTAATTTATAATCAACCTTTTGATGCAATATCTGATTTGATTCTCCTTTTTCAGTTTCGTGTATCTTCAGACAATTGTAATCTTCTCAGCATTGATTTATACAGAAATGACAAACTGTTTGATGTACATTGGACCGACAATCGGATTATCTGTGGACAGAGCATGCATTGTTATATGTCTGACTCCTATGATGACGACAGCAATGGTTGAATGTCAATTATTTGCGTATTTTCTCTTGATGAAAGAGAGATTGAGTATCATTAATCAATCTATTTATCGCTACAAGTTCAACCTACGTTCCAATGATATATTCCAAGAACCAATCGAAGATGTCAACCAATGCATTGACGTCAAAAAACAAATTTTCTTCATTACCGAGCTTATGAGACCACATAAAATCAATGATAAAATCATGAAGAAGTCTCACAAAAGTTCAGCAAGTAAATTGAAGCCTTTGCTGATGACCACGTGGCGGTTCTTTAAAAATATTTTACAATTTCGAGAGCATAGAATATTTGTGAACAATTTTGAAGAAGCTTTCAAAACAGTGGTCGAAAACAGCAACTTTCATTCTGATCATAATTATATCGACCGAATCAGCAGTCTGGAAATTATTTATACGAAACTTTACGAGATTTCAGATTTAATTAACAATGCATATGGAATTCAAACCATCGCTATAATCGCAGTTCAGTTTATTACACTCACCACCATGATGTATCATTGCACAATGAAAGTAATCAGGTGGGAATAAATTTAAATGATAAATTTTATGATCTCCTTTCGTCATCTTGTAAACATTGTTACATATTTATGTTTAAATCTTAACATGCTATAAAGTTAACACTTTATCTATGATTCCAATCACTCAAAAATGACGATAAAGTCGGAATATAAAAGCTTATACATAATTCGACAATTTAACAACATTTGCTTTTGTTATTTTCCTACTGAATGTAAATTTTTAATGTTGTCATTATTGTTGATGTCTATTACCATCATAGGATATTATCAACAGAGTTGTCTGATGTGGAGAATGACGAAACATTAGAGGAAGTCACAAGTACAGTAATGTGGATAGCAATTTACATGTACAAATTGTTTTCACTTTGTTATTGCATCCACGCAACAAATGATGAGGTTTGATTGATATAAAAAAAGTTTTAATCTCCCTTTTTGATTTTTCAATCTTCATGCATTTTCTGTTGTGGATACAAAGGGCAAAAAAATTGGACATTATCTACATATTTTTGGCTTACACTCAAACCACTTGGGCGACAAGTTTAAGGTAGAAAAAACTTTTGCTGTGGTAAAACGAGAAATGAAAAAGTTTCAAACATTTTCAAATTTCAGATAAAAATGTTTCTCCTTAAACTTTTACAACAGCGAATTAAATTTACACCATATGGATTATTTGACATTGATTTAGGACTTTTTAGTATGGTGAGTGAATTGAAAATATGTGTATGGTTGTCAATGTATCAGAGTTTATTGTAAATATAGATTACTGGCGCAGTTGTTACATACATCCTGATTCTAATTCAGTTTGACATCGCACAAAAGAATTAATGGAGTTAACAAAACTTTTCTTTCATTCCAAATGTCTTCGTTTTTATCTTTCATGACATCAGTAAACATTATAGAATGATTCAAAATAATATTTCCAATGATGGAATGTTTTTGTTGATACATAAAAAGCATACACAGAAAATGAAACTTCAGATGTGAAGTCGCTTCAAACGTATGCAAAGCACAGGAAGTCATGATTTTCGAGTTTAGTTCAAGAGAAAAGTTGAATAAGTTAAGCAGACAACATTTCAATTTCAGATTTTTATGTAGGAATTTCGAACATTGGATCAGGAAGGTGAATTGAGAGCTTAAAGCATTAATCTTCTATTCAAGTCATTCAAGATGTTTTAATTTCCTAAGCACTATGTTTTCTTTCTGAAAGAGAGAATTCAGCCACTTCCCTTCCTGAAGGATTCTCCGGGCATCGGCCTACCCTTCCCATTCCCCCTTCTTGCTAAAACTTTTTTATGCTCAAAGCGATTCTCTTTTTTTGCTTCCTTTCATGGCTGAAGTTGCAAGCATCATAAAAACCATTTACGACGAGTTTCGTAAAGAAACTTTTTTCCTGCAGTCTCTAAAGTTTTTCAGCCTGCAGCATTATTGACAACAAAATAAAATTTATGAGGTTTGAAAGGATGCGAGAAACTTAATATTATCGCACGTGATTAAGATTTTAATTAACGTATCACAGGAGATAATGAATTTCAGTAACGAGAATATTCTTAAGAAAGAAAATTATCTGTTTGATTACTAATTAATTTATGAGTTTGCATTTCTCCTTTTATTCTGTTCAACTATCAATTAATGTGATGTAAAACTTAGATTTCAAATAAATGAACAATTCACTTACTTGCAAGATATTGTCAGACTGCATTTACTTATTGTCGTTATTTTTTAACGCGAAATCGTTCGCCTTACTCGCCACTTGAATCACATTTCAGGAGAATAAAATAAAAAGAAAAAATGTGATCGAAATAAATCTCTGAAAGTGTTCACTATAAAATTTAAAAGCTTTCCTTTAGTCTTGGTGTGAATTAAATTAAGGAAAGTGACAATAATTGATAGTCATTTTATGTGACGATGCTTTTAAGAAGAACTGTAAGGAAGAGAGTGAAATCTCATATTAAATTATGCACTTTGAAGCACTTTATATGCTTGACATCATTTCAATTCACATTCTATTGGATTAACATTCTGACTTTTGACCCGAAGACTTACAACATTTTTCAAGTAAAAAGGAATTTCAATGAAATCATTCAACGATGCTAAGCTAATGACCATTTGTGACTTTTCACAAATTGCATTAAAATATTCTTAGAATTGTTATTCATTTAATGTATTAAGTTGTGAGGTGTCAAAAGAACTTCTTAATTGTCTAGTCTGATTATTTGATATTGACAACGTCTGTTGCAAGTTGCAACTAATTAACTGTTGAAAAGAACAAGTTTCAGTTTGATGAGCAATTATTTTACATAATTGTTACTGAAACTGAAGTATAATGGTGGGAAATTTGATTCAATTACAACTTGTAGCGTGCATTGAAGTGCAAATTACTTGAAAAATAAAGAACATTAAAAGTGTTGATTTAGAGAGAAAGCAATTAATAAATTATTTCCGTTCTGAAAATCATAAAATTTGTTAATTTCGAATTCAATTAGAATTTTGAGGAAAGTTAAAAGGTAAGAAGAAGAATCTTCTCAACTTATGTTCTTGGCAGTACTAACAGATATCTGGGTTAATGTTTCAATGATTGTTATACATTTTTAATGACCGTTGAACAACAACATAAGAAACTTAAATCATTAAAATCGTTATTTGAAAAGAAAGCAATTAATAATTAGTATTTAAGACAGACGAGCTAAGTTTGATGAACTCTCATGCTAGACAGAATCAATCCGAAGCTGAAAGGATGCTTCAACTTACTTTTTTTTATCATCTCTTCCACAAAAAAGTTCTGGTGAATATGACGCTTTGAAGTTTCTATGGCAGCATTAAATATGGCAGAAAGTCATGGCGATGTTCACCTTGATTTAATCTCTCGTTCTCTACATTTTATAAAAGAAGGAAAGATGACACAAAGCAAAACTCTTTTGTTTTGATTCTAGTTCTCTTGTTATCTGCTCAATTTAACAAGAATAACTTCAAAGATAACTGCTTGTTTGTTTGCATAGTTTTGCACTCTGTTTGTGCCGTCTGTTAGTCGTATGAAGTTTCTTATCTTTTAAGCGTAAAAAATGTAAACAAATATACAAAGTTGTGTTTACAACGTTTGTAAGGAACTCATTTTGAACGTCAACAAAACGATGATTGAAAGAGAATTTTAAAACGTGATGTTCAGTAAATGAAAGCTTTTACATTCTGTTAGCATTTTAATTACATTTAATCACAAACTGTTTTAGAATAGATAATTAACCTTCTTCCCCATATGACAGGCAGTAAATTTGTCTTGTTGTTTCGCAATAATCTGCTTTGTTAAGAGTTGCCTTACAAATCAAAAGCATTCAATCATCAACTGAAACGAAAAGACGTTTCAACATGACGGTCAATATTTAATCGAAATAAATTACAATTGTTGCGTAGAAATTTGACAACTTTGAGTTCTTTTCAAACTTAGTAAATGAAAGACGATTTGATGCAGGAAGACAATGAACTTTTAGATGTCATGAAAGAAGGAAAAATTTCTCAATTTGGGTTATTTACTTTATATTCAATATTATTTAATTTTAATCATTTCCGTAAGTCAACGTTGATGCTCATAAAAATAGCTTTTGTGAAATATCCTGAAGATAAGTCAAAGGCAGACTCGACACTAGTCGATTGCAGAAATAAAGAATTATACAAGAAATCTGAAAAAAACCGAATTTAAACAATTTTTCATTTAATGTTCGTAAAAAGATTTCTTTTCTCCTAAAACAATATTTATTTTCTACTAAGTTTCTTTTTGATGAAGATTTATTTATGAATGCTGCGACGATATTTTAAACCGCAAAAATATTTTTTTTCGTCTGAAATTGATGCTTTAAAAAAAAAATTAATAAAAGAAAAAACGGGAACAAATGTTGACACATGAATTAAAATTAATTAAAAGTTGTTCTTCTTTATTGGTTAGACATCGAGTAAAAAAATTCCCCGGAGGGAAATGACGTTTGTATGAATGTTTAACAATTCATGCCATGAGGTTACGCAAGTTGAATTTAATTCACTTTTTTTCGTTAATCACAACATAAATGCGTAGGAAAAATTGATTTTATTTTGATCAACAAATTATTTAATTCATAAACTATTGAAATTGTGTTGTCAACCCTCAAGTTTTTGTCGTAATTTCTCATTACGCTGTTGAACCGAATCTTTCATTCCAATCAATGTATTGTTGCAAGTCTTCCATGGAAACTGAAGCTTTAACGTGCTTCAAGCTTCTACGAAAATCGTTGATGTTCATTGCACGAATCTGTAAATAAAAACGATTGACAAACTTTCTTATTAAATTATCTTTCACTATTTTACCTTTGAAATTGTTATGTCAAGGATTTGGGTCTGACTCAACTCTCTAATTGGTTGCATAGAAGCTTCTGAACATAACTCTTTTATATCAGCTCCCGAGTAACCTTCAGTGGAGTTTGTTATTTCATTAATATCATAATCACTTAAATTGTTGTCGTTCATGCTGACTAAGTTAACGAGAAGTTCATGACGAGCCTGAGAAAAAGAAAACATTTTCAACTTTATTAATTTAACCATCATCGCCATGGCTTTGTTTTTGTCATCATACTTGGAATTCTGGAAGTGGAATGTATAAACGTCTTGTAAAGCGACGTCTAGCCGCATCATCAAGTTCCTGTGGTCGATTTGTGGCGCCAATAAGTAAAATTCTGTCTTTGTCATTAGTATGAGCACCGTCAAGTTGAACAAGAAATTCAGTTTTCATGCGACGACTTGATTCATGCTCACTCTCTGATCTTTTTGATAAAAGCGAGTCAATTTCATCAATAAAAATTACTGATGGTTGTTTCACACGAGCATAAAGAAAAAGAGCTTTGACCATCTTTTCCCCTTCACCAATCCATTTCGAAGTTAATGAAGATGCTGAGATACTGAAGAATGTTGCACGAGCATGTGTTGCAACACATTTGCCGATGAGTGTTTTTCCAGTGCCTTTTTTTTTTTGACAAAAAATGAAATTTTAAAACCAAAATTTTTAATTATTTTATAAATCACCTGGAGGTCCAAAGAGTAAAATTCCTTTTGGAATTGTTCGTAAACCCTGAAAGATTTCAGGACGAAGCAATGGCAATACAACAGCTTCTTGAATCGTTTGTTTTGCTTTAATTAGTCCAGCAATGTCGCTCCATTGAACTTTCTTTGTTGTATCGATGACTTCTCGTTTAATTGAGTCTAAAATTTTCGGTTCAATTCCTTTCAGTCGAGGATCGTCCACCATCTCTGCTTCGTTTTCATTGTCAATTTCCATTTTTTCAGCTTCTTTCTTCTTAAATGGTGGCTTAAATTGAGAATTCATTGACATCCTAAGTCCAAGTGTCTTAGTATGTGAATTATCGCTTAGTTTTTCATTTTTGTGATTGAAATTTGATGGAATTTTGGAATTTCTTGGATTATCTTCATCTTGAATGCCTCTTTTACGATTTTGGATCACATGTATTTGACGAGCTGATTCAAAATCAGGATAAAAAGCTTTTGGAGTTTCCTGTTCACTTTTTGTAGATTTTTCTGTTTCAGGTTTGTTGGGGCGAAATATTTTTGAAAAAACCTCACTATAATTCACAGGCTCTTGATTTTGTGCCAATATTTTATTTGAAGATCTTTGAGAAGGTTCGAAAGATTCTTTTTTCTTGAACATGAATGAGTTAGAAGTTGATTGTGATTTTTGTTTTACAACTGAAGGATTTTTAAATGGTGGAATTACTTCAAGCACAAGATCATCGTTTTTAATTGATGGTTTATCTCTCTTGAACAATCCTGCAAACATCTGTGCGTCTTCATCGGTGATTGATCTCGTAGAGTTTGTTGGAAAATCGAGAAGAAATTCATCTGTCAATCCAGATTTTGGAGTGTAATCAGCACCATGATCAGGTTGATTATTCTTGTATTCTTCAGATGATGTAAAGTCTATAAAGTTATCAAATATTTTATTGGAACAAGCAACAGCTTCAGACTCTTTATTACTGAAAATGAAAACAATTCATTATCAACTTTTATTTCAAACAAAAATAAATAAAAAATCTCACTTTTTCAACGTTTCAAGAAAGGCAACTGCAGTTCTTCGAAAGAAATTAATACTTTGAGAATCAGAATTATTATCAGTCATAGTGAATCATTAATGTTTGTACGGAATATTCTTTAGTTAAAACGTGATCGTCGGAACAATTGGAAACAAATTGATCGTTCAAGTACGCCAAGTTTAAGCGGGAAAAGTAATCTAGTACAAAATATTTGAAAGTGATCACTTAACGGTCATTTCCTACGATATCTTCTTTTATGAATAATCTGGTAAATAAAAGTGATTTTACAATTTTATTATTAGGTAACTCGCTAATTGCGAGTCGCTATCGTACTGTGAGTAACAAGAACATATTTGTGTTAACATTCATTTCATCAAAATATTTTATTAAGTTAAACTTGACATTATCAGAAACTTTTGAAAGAAGAGAATAAACCCCAGACAATAATCATCTATCTTATTTAATTCTGATTTGTATCTCTATGGCTACATATAATGTTGTTGATGATTAATCACAAGTTTCCTTTTCCGAGATGTGTATCATTAAAATCATGGAAAGTTTTGCTTAAACATTGTGTAATGTTGAGGATATGTGGCATGTTAGAATTTATTCAACAAATCTTTGATGAAAATCGAAGGAAGAATAGGTATCTACATAAATAATTTATCATAAATCTATTTGACTTTAACAAATAGAAACGATATAAAAACCTACACATTTTTTGTCAATAATGTACTCACAAATAATTCAATGAAGATCCTTCCTTGAAGGAAGCCGATGTAGATTCTTTAAAATTCAAAAAAAGAATTGAAACGTGACAGCCAGAAGATTGACAACAATTTTCAAAAATTGAATTAGATATCTAAATATTTAATTTCAAAAGAATCGATACCTAAATGGTTTATTTCTTACTGTTTCAATAAAAAGAAGGAATTTATTTATTGAAAAGCTTTTTCTGAGAAAACTGAATGAATTTCTATAGATTCTCTTTAATTCTTGTTTTGTAAGACTTTATTTCCCAGATTAGGAAATGCTTAAGGATATTTTCCACTTGATGTCTTTATTTTCGCTATTAATTATAACTTACTAAAGTTTCTTTTGAATTTGGATTGAAGCACCAGCCTTTAGTACTTGATGATATAATGAATAAATTTAGCGTTTTATAATTTATCAATAATAGAATTAATTAGGTACTAAGTGATTGTTTATGATACTTCTGCTTTAATAACATTCAAATTTAATTTGTTGAAAAATGTTATTATTGAATTTAAAATCCTTCAACAAACATTTCATAATTCCTTTGTGATGGAATTTCGATTTTCGAGAGTTATTTCACTCATTGAATGAAATACGAAACTGAATTTATCAGGAATCCAATGGACGACTTAACAAATAATATTTTCATTAATGTCTGATTTGTTGTTCATGTTTATGCTGCTTCTGTAGCCGTCCTTGAATGTCAGTGAACGTTTTCGGATATAAGGTAATCATGACTAATGATTTACAATTTACACGGAATGTAAATGATTACCCAATGTATACTTTCTCTCATTGTGGATTACTAATAGATAATAAGGATTTGTGAAGAGGTTTGCATGTCTTTCTCTTTCAGATTTTGCTTTAATTGCTTCTAGGTAGGCAAGAAAAATTACGTGAGATTATAAATCGTTCGTATTTACCTTGAGTTCAATATGACAAGAAGATTATTGGGATTTCTTTTTGTATTTATCATCGTTAATCGATAAAAAATACATTCAACGAATAAATATTAGATGATTATATAACTTTTTCCTTGCTCTTCGATTCAATTATCATAGCTTTAATTCTCTTGAAGAAGCGTGGGTGGTAAATGAAAATATGATGAAAAGATTCTCAAATTTATTTCACAAATAATTTAATAATTCTCAATACATAAAATGCAATTTATGTTATTTAATATTTTCTCTCAAATCTTGACAGATGTGCTTCAAATTTATTTAATAATACTAAAATGATTATTATTGTGGGTGTTTCGGAGCATATAAACTAAAATTCCATATAAAAATGTCTTTCACTCACAACAACCAGCAATAGAAGAAGAAAAAAAGAAATTAGAAATTTTCGGTCCATCGTAAAGTTGAACAAACCGAATAAGAGATGATTGTCATGGTTTCCGGGATGGTAGTTCAGTTGTCAGTTGGTTCATTTCACTCTAGGGATGAATATTTCCTGCAAAAAGCGAGAAAACGTATTGAGAATGAGAACGATAATTTTCGGAAATGTTTCGGTTGATTCAGTAAATATTTTTGAATTCATGATGATAACAAATGTTGGAAAAACGAGAAAATATTGAATGATTTTTATATTAGCCGCAGCGTGATATTTTTTGAAGAATCCATCAAGGATTTCCATTTGCAAAGCTTTTACATGAGTTAAATTTATCTGATCAGAAAATAAAATCTCAACCAAAAGCTTTCAACTCGCTGAAAGCTGAAGATGAAAGAAATAACTAATGATAAGAAGCGTGGTTTCCGGCATGACCAGCGCATATGACAAATGAACATGCGATAGCCATTTGTTAGTTACAACACTCTGTCACACACAGATTAAGAAAAATTTGTTCATTGTCCTCGCCTTTCGTTCTTACAATGCTTCACAATATTTTGTAGCTTCATTTCAAATGATGCTTAAAGACACACAGCATGAAATCATTCACAGTTCCGTTTCCTTAAAATATTTTTTATTCTTTTCATCGTAAAATTGACCGGGATGCGCATTTATTGGTGGTAAAGGTGCACGACCTTTTGAATGTTTCGCTGGTCGTTGCTTCTTGTTGTCAAATTCATCGATCGATTTATCAGAAGTCAATGAGAATGTTGACGATGACAAACTCGTGACAATCTCTATCGGTGCATTGCTTAATGTTAGTTTAGCTTCAATAAAATTCTCAGTTGATTCAATTTTATCGGTAATTTCAATGTTTGAATTAATCATCAATGGAGTCATGAAATGTTCATGAGTTTCTTCAACTTTCACTTCATTTTCTTTCACTTCATCATCCATTTTCAATATCTCGTCTTCTTCTCTATCTTCGAGAATCACTAAAGGAACTTTTAAATATTCATCGTCCCCGCTATCTGAAATTACATCTTGAAATTCTTCAAAATCAACTGCATCGTCTTTAGCATCAATTTTTTCATCATTGACTTCCAACTCGCTTGTTACAACATTAACAACTTCCTTCGGAACTTCAGTTTCATCAATATTGTTTACCTTCTTATTTTCCAAACTCTTCTTAGAAAGTGATGAATTGATCTGGTCTACTTTTGCATTCTGCTTCATTTCAATCCACTTTAAGAATTCTTTATGCATCTCTTCAGATGATTCTTCACTTTTCATTTCTCTCACCTCGTCTAATCTTGAATTTTGCTTCACTTTAAGCTTATTGTATGCAGCAATAATCTCGTCGTCAGAGAGTTCACTTATCGCAGCTTTTTGTCTCGATACATCACGTTGCACTCCATTAAAATGTTCAATATCAGATTTCATTGATAATGTTTCTTGATTCTGATATAAATCACGGTAAAACGTTTCTTTATCACCTCCGCGCTCCTTAAATTGTTTAATATTCATAAAAATTCACAAGTGAAAATTCACTTTGAACATTTAATTTTACGATTATTGCATTACCTCAATAAATGTTTGTGATCTCATCGATGGATGTCGAAAGAATTGAGGCGAGCTTGGACTTGAATAACCCGAACTGATATCATCGCATCTAAAATGTAAATTGAAGTCAAATTTATCGAAATATTATTTGAGAAAATTCTTTAAACCTAAAATCCATTGATGATCTTCGTTGTTCTAAATGTTCATTCGAGTAATTAAATTGATTGCCGTAAATTGGAATCTTATCCTTCGAAAGTCGTCTTAGTCGTAAAGTATCGTCAACATCACCATTAAAAGAGATTGTGTCGACATCAGATAAATTACTTAAGCTTACATTCTTCATTAATTGATGGGAAGAAATAAAGCTGTTGCCAGGTGGTTTTCCTTCTTGCATGATGATTTTATTAGCGTAATTAACGCTCTTCGATCCTAGACGAAACACATGCATGTAACCTCGTTCTTGAGCTGTTTGAATAATTTCATCAATTTCCTGTTTAAAGAGTCAAAAACTGAATCAATTTCACCCTAGGTGCAGATATCACAGAATTTCCACTGATCCAATTAGATTAATGGAGTGTGGGAAAATTTAATTTAAATAAAACTTCTCTCACCTGTTCACGAGAAAGCAACATTGGATGAATGCACATTTTATAGAGTTTAATAGCGCCGCGAGATGAAGGGCCAAGTAACCAGATTAAGATAATCACTTTAATCTCGTAATAACATGGAAACCAACTCATGACAGCGTCAGTTAAAAGCTCTATACAAGTGAAAAATGCGTAAACAATCCAAAAGATTATCCATTTAAGATATTCTTTAAGGTTTTTATTTCGAACAGCCTTGAATGAGCGATAAGCAGGATAAATGGTTGTGAAAATTAATCTAAATCCTGGGTAAAGTGCCCGTTCGGTGAAGCCTCTTGGACAAATGAAAATTGCTAAAAGTGAAGTCAAACCGAAGCTCATCACGCTCATCCTTGGGAAAGGAAACTTTGAGACCATTTCAAGAAATCCGCTTATGCGATTAAGCAACAAAGCAATTGATTGCTTTGTCATCTCCTTTGCATTTGTCATCGTTACATTATTTCGTTTGTTGTTTAAATTGAAGAACTTAAAATTCTCATTGTATCTCATCAATCTATTTTCATCGGCGGTGTAAGCGTCTTCGTCGTACATTGCATGAAGTTTTCCTTTTGGTCGAGTGACTCTCACATATTTTGCATTCTCAGACGCTATGATGTCATCATCAGTCTCGAAACGATTGATGAGTTCATTTATGTTTACACTGTTGCGTCTCATTATCGACTATCGATTAAACCGCAGTTTATCTAATCAATTAAGTGAAAAATTCTCCCACACTTTCAAAGACTTTTTCCCACTTGATTTGTGAAAACAAACAATGATGGAAATTATTTCTATGTTCGGCGGAAATTCTTCTTTTGCTATTTATAAATCAGTTGAGAAATTATTTTATTTTCTTGCTGCACAGTTTTCTGAAATATTCACTTTTGTCTTCTTTTTCCATGACTTTTCTGAGTCATTTTCATTCTTTTATTCCTTCACGACTAAATAAACAATCAAAGAAGTTTCTTTTTAAAAGTTCTGGAAAATTTTCTAAATGAAACAATGACAACAAAAATTTGTTCTTAAAAGTGTGAGCCCCGAACGATGACTAAAATGAAATAAGAAAATTTGAGAAAATCTCACTTGATTTTTTTACGATCTATTTTTACAATCACAAGACGATCCCATTTCTCTGTTTATCTTTTCTTTCCCTTTCTGTAAGTCTTACAGATGATCATCGGTTGAGATTGTAAAACATTTTTTATTCTCTGATGAGAGTTTAACTTGAAGCGATTGTTGAATGAGAGTAAGAGATCTATAAATGTTGCAGTTTGCTGGGGGAAATGCTAGGCTAACAATTTCATAATTGATGCAGTTTCATCACATTCGTTGAATTTAATCTGGTAATGATTTCGTCTATTTTTGGAAGTTTAGATTAGTTCGAGGAATTTAAACCACCGAATTTTGTATTCAATTTTAATCTTCAGAGATTTAAATAATTACTGATGATTAAGCACAATTAGCACCGAAAGTTCTTTTTAAAAATCCTAATAAAATTTATTTTTAAGAAACGGCAAAGTGATTTAATTTAAATATTTTTCTAATCTTCATTCATGACAAATTAAACGACGAAAAAAAATAATTTTTGTTAATTAAATCATTCAAATGAAGATTTGTTTTTAAATTTGTTAATTGAGTTGATAAGCTGAATATTTCTGTAAGTGTTTGGCATATTTTAGAGCAATTTAAACTCAATTGATGTCAACGTCATTCAAAGCAACACATAAAAGCTTTTTTTATGGTTTTGAAATGAACGTGAACCGATGCTAGGTGGTGGCAAATCAAGAAGTGAACTTTGTCTGACCTAGAGATAAACCAATCACTTCCACATACTCCAACACAAGCTTGTTTATGCTTCAGACTCAAATATATTCACGATCTCTTCGTTTTAATGTATTGAACGTTCGGTCCATTCACGTTTTTATTTCCTACAAATTATTCAGTAATGAGAGTAAAGTTGACAAGTAAAGAAGTAAATCTGAGTAAATAAAACAAATTAAACATGAAATTAAGTCGACCACAGTTGTTCCAAAGGGAATTCTTTTATCAATATTTAGCTACGTTTCTCGGTTAGTAAAATTGTTAATTTCAATTGATATCGAGGAAAATAAATGCAGAGAAGTTAAATTTATTGTTTTATTTCGTAACCGAATTAAATTGCACCGTGCACGTTTAAATCGAGAACACATAAACGTCAATTGCAGTCCTAAATTGCTTTTTTTATGCTGATTGTAGTTGCTGCACACCTGAATCTCGTAAACAATTAATTTTCTTTCGTGGATGTTTGTTGTTGTGTATCTTCAATAATGTGATGAGAATTTTAAGTGTTTTTAAAGCAGACGTTCGCCTAGTTTAATTTCTTTGGAATTCCAGATGAAATCTTATCAGCAAATTCAAAACTGGATCATAAATTTCATTTTTTATAATTTTTAATGGTGCTCTCGTGACAATTAATGGAAATTGCGAATACAAAATATTTTAATTGAATGAATGATTGAAATATTCGACTACGGATGAAGCTTGATGACCTTTTCAAAAACTTTTTGTGTTTGCAAATGGCATTGACCAGTTTCAGGTCTCAATTTCCTGTCACTTTGTATGAGTGCGTCAGATGAAATTGTTGCGAAAAGTATTTTGCTATTTGTCAATAAATAAAATAAAAAAGTTTTCTTATCTCCAAGCATTCATCATGAAAGTTCAACGAGAATCTGCTAATCAGCATTGACATGACTTTATTAACACGATTAAAATTAAAGTGAAAATATTTTTATAGTTAATTTAACTGCATTCATATTTGGAATTGTGATTGGATTTACGGGACCAAATCTTGAGCTTTTTAAGTCTGACAACTCACCATTACCGTCTGGGAAAATAACAATAGAAGAAGAATCGTGGATCTCATCGTTAGCTGCTTTTGGTGCCATTGGCTTCACACTTTTCTACGGGTTCATTTCAGAGAAATGTGGACGAAAAATTGCCATTCTTCTTATTGGAATTCCACAAACTGTAAGCTTTGATTATAAACAATTTCATTACTTTCCTTATCAAAAATTATATTTAGAATTCTGTGTAAAAATAAATTTCAGACCAGTTGGATCATCATGGCCTTTGCTTCGTCTGTCAATCACATTTATATTTCTCGACTACTTTCTGGAGTTGCTGGTGCCGGCTGGTTCTTTGTAGTGCCAGTTTACATAGCAGAAATAGCTGATAAAACGATTCGTGGTGGTCTTTGCGCATCGTTCTCTGTTATTTGTAACACTGGAATCTTTTTGGAGTTTATTCTCGCTGAGTACATGGATTTCCGAGACGCTGCAATCTTGATTGGAATTGTGTCATTAGTTTTTGTGATCGGCTTTACATTCATGCCTGAATCTCCGCAATATTTGATTTCAAGAAAACGATACGACGAAGCAGAAATCTCTTTCAAGTTCTTCAGAGGACTGCAAGCAAATGAACAATTGCCACAACATTTGCAAGAAGATTTCGATTCGATTAAAGAAATTGGAAAAGATGATGGAGAAGAAAAGCAAATCAGAGATCTTTTCAAACACATCGTGAAGCCGGGAGTGATGAAAACCGTCTTCTTAGCTTGTGTTGTTTGCAATTTCCCACTTTTGTCTGGTTGCTTCGTTCTAATCACTTACAATCAAGGAATCTTCAAAGCTGCTGACGTTGGAGTTTTAAGCGTCTTTTGGTCATCGCTGGCTTTCGCTTTCATTCAAATTGTCGCTTCAGTTTTCACAGCGAAATTTGTTGATCGAGTGGGGAGACGAAAGATTTTAATTAGTTCATCATTATCATCAGCATTTTGCTTGGCAGTTTTTGCAACGTACATGTACATCAAAACAGAAACAAATGTTGACTTAACGTCACTGTCATGGGTCAAATGGATCCCCGTTATCAGTTTACTTGTAGAAGTCTTTGTAAGTTCCATAGGAATCATTCCTGTGCCGAACTTTTATGGACCTGAAATACTGGATCAGAAGGTTGTATTCAACTTAAAGTGTCTTCAGTTTCTTTAATTAATTTCTCTACAGATTCGAAGTTTGGTTGTTTCGATATGTTCGTGGTGGTCTTGGCTTATCGGCTTTCTAATAATCAAATTCTATCCAACTGTTGAATCAATCATTGGAATAAGCGGCGTGATGATGTTCTTTGCATTAACTTGTTGTTTTTGCGGGATCTTCACTCTTGCCTTGCTTCCCGAAACTAAAGGAAGGAACATCGAAGAAATCGCGAAATCAATAAGCGACGATAAAAATAAAACCGAGATTAGATTTTAAGATTTAAATTTAAGAAATTTCTGAATGTTCCTTTGCCATTACTTTGCTAGGTTTTAAGAAACTTTGGTAAACTTTCCAGAGCATTAAAATATTATTAAATATTTAACAATTTCTTGTTTTCCTTTTGAATTTATTGCATTGCGCTTACTTAACTTTAAAAACCAACATCGATGGCTAAATACAACACAGCACGCGCATAAATTTCTCATCGTTATTTCACTATTTTTAATTTTAAAAATTTAGTGACAATAAAATAAAAACAAGCACAAAAAGTCGACCAATTCATGTCAAAACATTCCAATACGTCACTCATCATCAAAACATTTAAATTTGTTTTTACAGAAAAGCTCGAACCAAAACGATAACTATTTTAATTATGACAGCTTTCTTGTTTGAAATTGATAAAGTTACATGCATGAGGTATTGAACCAGAACAGTTTCGAACTTCATCTGATCTCCTGCCATTCAAACTGGTTACACTTGTGATGGCATAACTGACAGCTAGTCTCGTGATTAGAGTAACTCAGCGCCAGTAAGCTTATTCAATCGAGTTGGGTCTTCATCTGTCAATCATTTTTATATCTCTTGATTCTTTGTTGGCGTCGCGTGAAGTAGAATTTTTCGGTAAAAGACACACAATTAAATTTCCACAGCGAAATTTGTTGATTGTACATATAAGAAGACGAAAGATTTTAATTGATTCATCATTATGAATTGTTAACAACCAAACTGCTTCCAACTGTTCAGCTTTAAGAAATTTTTTTGAATGCAATATATTAAAGCAGCGCATGTCGTCTTATCACAACCTTAATTTCCACGTGTTTGCACAGCAATAAAACATTTTCAGATTATAAGCAAGCTTAATCTTCTGTTTTATCAGATTTTTGTACAATTCTAAACACGAAAGCTGTGAATATCTTCAAGAATTGTGAAATCAGCAAGTCTTGAAATGATTTTCAATACGCTTTTCCAGAGAACGAGCAGAAGAAATCAATACATTTGTGCTTTCTTTGGTGAGTATTTTGAAATTTATATTTACGAAGGGATAAGGTAGATTCATTCATGTAGAATTTTCATGTAGAATTTTATGAAAATAATTTCCATAAGGTGCTCTAATTTCACTCTCGCTTTAACAATTCAAATTAAAGGCTTACTCAAGAAGCTTTCCATGAATTACTGATTAGTGATTGGCTTGGAAACCTTCAAAATATTATTTGATTGGAAGTTTTCTCGGAATGGAATCTTGATAAATAATATTTTATTAATATTTTAGTCAACACCATAGCTGTGTCGCATGGTTGCGTGGTCGGTTGGTTATCTCCATTCATACCTTATCTTCAATCATCACAATCTCATCTCACCACAGGGCCTGTAACTTCAAATGATGTTTCTTGGATTGGATCACTGATGCCTTTAGGTGGATTTATCGGAACGACAGTTTTTGGAACGATAACAGAGAGGCTTGGAAAAAGAATTTCATTGTTTATGCTTCTTGTTCCACACTTGAGCTTTTGGTGTTTGATTTATTTCTCAACAAATGTAAGTCATCTTTACATAGCCAGAATTTTAGGTGGAATAACTGGAGGTGGAAGTATGAGAATTCTTCCACTCTACATAACTGAAATATCTGAAAACAAAATCAGAGGAACGCTTGGGTCTTTTTACGTCTTAAGCTTGAGCTTAGGAACATTTCTAATGTTCGTCATGGGAACTTATTTTAACTTTTTTATTGTCCCTCTGATCATTCTGATTTTCCCATCGATATTTTTCATCTCATTATTCTTTCTCCATGACACACCAACGTCTTTAATATCACGAAAAAAATTTGATGAGGCTTTCATCGCTCTGAAATTCTACAGAACATGTGGAAAGGAAAAACAGGAAAATGTTCATGAAGAATTTGAGCTTTTACGAAAAGCTTTGCAAAAGGAAGATGACAAAAAGTGGACAGTCGAAGATTTTGGTGAGTTTTTTATTTCGTTTTTCTCACAACCTTCTACATTATTTCGACAATTATTTTAGCATCAAAATCAGCACAAAAAAGTTTCTTATTGGGTTTGTTTTTGATATTCTTGAATCAATTTTCTGGGACCTTTGCCATTATGACTTACACAGCTGAAATATTTAGAGCTTCCGGTTCAAGTTTGAAACCAAATGAGTCATCAATGATAATTGGCTTCATTCAGTTGGTTGGTGTTTATGTGTCAACGATCTGCGTTGACCGCTTTGGTCGAAAGGTGAGTGAACTTAAAATCATTTCTAAATCATTTACAATCATTTCACTTCCAGATCTTGATGTCAATTTCTTGTTTCGGAACATCGATTTTTTTATTTATCTTAGGAAGTTATTCTTATCTTAATGCTTCTGGGTTTGATATCAGTAATTTGTCATGGATTCCCATTCTCAGTTTATCGCTTGTTATCTTTCTTGCATCACTTGGAGTCATCTCACTTCCCTTCATCATGATAACGGAATTGATGCCTAGCAATGTAAAAAGATTTATTCACGTTACAATAGCAATTGCAATTTTTCTCTCACGTTCTTTTATCTTTATGGTAGGTCAGGAACACAGCATGCTCTGTTTGTATGAGTTTGTTCGCAATATTTGCTTTCATTGTTCTCAAGGTAATTTTTCTTATTTCTATGCTTTTAATTGAAAATTTCCTTGATGAATTATTTTTTTCACTCAGATTTTTCCACCCATGGTGAAAATGTTTGAAATTTATGGTTGCATGTGGTTTTTCGCAGGAGTTTGCCTTGTGGGGACCGTAATCACAATTCTGTTTATACCCGAAACAAAAGGGAAAAATATAATTTAGTTCATTCTTTGTTTTATTTAGGTAGATAATAAATTTAATTTCATTTTTCCACATTCACTGAGCTTTGTGTGAGTGAAAAATTTTAAACTTTTCTCGTGGTGTTGAATTAGCGAAATTATTTGTTAAATAATAAAAAAAAAATTCAGTTGATTTGTAAACAAAACGGCAGACAAAAACTAGACAATGCTTGTCATGAATATTTACATTTGTATGTTAATATAATGATGTAAGTTTTGTCTTTATACATTAACAAATATCTCACATGTCTCTCTCCTTCTCTTCAATTCATTTTATTATCAAACACAACTCAGCTGTTCCATTTGCTCGTTTTACTTGTGAGAAGAAATTGACAAGAATCAAATGCCGGTTATCATGTAAATGTTAAAAAATGTTACTCGTCTTTAATTAAATGTCTAAATAAATCGCAATTCATTTGATTGCTTGTGATTGAGAGCGAATAAAAATGAAGACTAAATAAACATCAGTAAAGTTTTCAATAGTCTTGAATCTTTCTTGTGTCAATGTTTGTTTGCAAGAGTTTCGTGAACTTTATTCGTACAATTTCATTCGTGTTTAAAGAGTCAAACTGTGTGTTGGGTGCTGTTTCGCTTGACATTTGAAATGTCTTTGAAAGCAGTTATTGAGTCTTCGAGCACCAGAAATCAATACCTTGCAGTATTTACAGGTGAAGTGAAGTTTCATCGAACTCGAAACAATATAAAATCGAATTTAAAGCATGTTTAAACGTTGTGCACATAACATAAAATTTATAAATCACAAATATTGTAACCTTAACATTATTTTTGAAACGACCTTGACCGTCCAAAGCATTTTGTTGAATTAACTTTAGGCGCTCAGTTTTCTGATTAAAATTTCAGTTGATGGTATCTTTTGTACTTTTTGTTTCAACAATTAAAATCGACGAAATTAATTTATTTTTCTTCTTTTTGTTAATTTTTTTCGTTTTTTAATTGATAAGCATTGTGAGAGTTATTTTTGTTTTGCTTTTTTCATTATTTATAATTAATGAAATCACTGAAAGGAAGAAAAAGTAAATTTCATTTCGAATGAGATTAAAGATGAAGGAGTTCAGTTTTAGTTCAAGAGAATGGAGGGTTATCAATGAATTTTAATCTATTTATAGAAAGAAGAACATTTGTTATCGATTTCATCAAATTGTTTATCTACATTACCTTCTTTTTTATGAAAATTCATGAACACCACTGCAAAAGAGTGAAAAATGCAAAAAAAGATTTCAGTGATGTGTGAAAATGTTTACATTCATCGACAGTGTTGACATAGTGAAAATTTCCTACAAACAAATAGAAAAAAAAAAACAAAACAAAAATTTGTTGCGCTTCAATGGAGTTTAAAATTGACGTTTTGTGTTGAATGCTTTGATTACGATTGAAACTTGATATTAATTAAATTATTTTTCCAGTGAATATTATAACTTTATCTCATGGATGCATCGTAGGATGGCTTTCACCTTTCATACCTTATCTACGTTCATCAGAATCTCATCTAACATCGGGGTCAGTGAACTCGAATGATATTTCTTGGATTGGTTCATCACTAAGTATTGGAGGGCTTGTTGGAACGATTGTCTTCGGAAGAATTGCACAGAAATTCGGTACTAAGAAAGCTTTAATTCTTCTCGCCTTTCCACACATTATTTTTTGGCTTTTGGTGTTCTTTTCAACAAATGTTTACCATCTTTACCTCGCGAGAGGATTTGCTGGTTTAAGTGGGGGTGGAATCATTCGAAATATCTCATTGTATGTGACTGAGATATCTGAGAACAAAATCAGAGGGAAACTAGGAAGCTACATGGTATTGTGGTTTAGTGCTGGAATTTTATTGATTTTTGTTATAGGAACTCATTTGAGCTTCTTCGTAGTGCCACTTGTATTGGTATTGCTTCCGATCTCATATTTTTTCGGAATTTTATACTTTCCTGACACTCCAACTTCATTGATAACGTTCAAGAAAAGTGAAGAAGCTTGGAACTCGCTGCTTTTCTTCCGCACTTACGGGAAACATTCAACTGCAACTGCAAGTGTTGTAGAAGAATTCAACTTATTAAAAACTACATTGGAGAAGAAAGATTACGAAAAAGTGGAGCTTGATGATTTCAGTAAGTGATTCAAATGGTCAAACTATTTAATCTTAATTTAAACATTTTTGTACAGTGACAAAACCAGCAAAGAAAGCTCTCGTCATTGCAATGTTTCTGATGTTTCTCAATCAGTTTTCTGGAACATTTGCTGTAATGACTTATACAGCTGATATTTTTAAGCATTCCGGTTCCGATATAAGTGCAAATAATTCGTCAACTGTTGTAGCTGTCTTACAATTGATTGGGGTTTATTTATCAACAATTTTTGTGGAACGTTGTGGAAGAAAAGTTTGTATTTTTCACACTGCTGTAACATTGCATAATTTATTGGAAATTGTTTTTGTTTTTAAATTTTTTCAAAGATTTTAATGACAATATCATGTACCGGAGCGTCGTTATTTCTGCTTATCCTAGGAACATATTTTTATATTAAAACATCATTTGATGAAATGAACCAATATTCGTGGATACCAGTTGTAAGCTTATCGCTGTACATTTTCCATGCTTCTTTTGGCATCATTTCACTCCCATTCGTCATAACCACGGAGTTGCTACCGAACAAGGTTTTCAAATTTCATTTTCATTGATTTTCATTTAAAAAATTTGTTTTATTTAGGTGAGGAAAGCGGCATGCACAATATGTATGAGTGCTATAACTGTTCTGGCTTTCATCGTTCTCAAGGTCAGTGATTTTCATCGCAATAATAATAAAATAACTTAAAAATGATGTACCTTTATAGATATATCCACCTTCAGTTAAACTTATTGGAATTTATGGATGCATGTGGTTTTTCTCAGCTATTTGCCTTCTTGGTGCTATTGTTACGATTATATTCATACCTGAAACTAAAGGAATAAGTTTGATAACTTCCGATGAAGAGAGCCAAAAAATGTTACCAAAACCAAAAGAAAAGAATGCTGTGGTGAAAGCACAACAACTTTAAACCAATGCGATAATTTATAGCTTGAACTCTACATTTTTCAATTACATATTTAGATATTTATTTATTTTTCGGAAAAAATAAAATATTTCAAATCATAACGGTCAAGTAAATTTTAAATTTTCTTCATTCTAGAATTTGAGCTAGTACAATTTTAGTGGACTTAACGCAACATAATTCCAAAGTTACAAAAACATTGAAGTTTCACAAAAATTCGCCGGATAACATAAGATTTCATTCTCTTGAAATTAACGAAAAGATTTAGTAATTGTTTAATTCAGTGGATATTATTTAAAAAAGGTGAGTACTTAAATCATTCACATTTGTCACAAGAACATTTCTGAGGTGAAATATCGTGAAATTAATCAAATCTCGAAATCTGAATACAAGATTTTATTTACGAAGAAAAAAACAAGGTCATACTTGGATAGTTTTAAATGAACTATGCACTGTTATTGGAACTTTGATAACATTTCCAATTTGAAACTAATCCTTATCTATCCTCAAAACATTCTGGAAAAGGCAGTGTCATAACATGACTGTCCAAATAATTTATCTTATCAACAACATACTTGTCGATTTCTATCATCATGAAAAGCAGTAGCAGTTCAAAAAATCATTGAACGTTAGGAAATATAAATGCTAATAAAAGTTCTCATAAATTATTGATAAAAATAAGCTTAAAGGTGTGAAGCAACGACTTGTAATTAACACTTCAGAAGCAAAGATGAATTGAAATAGTGAATGGAAAGCTAACAACTAATGTCATCATCTCATATCAACCTAGTTGATGAAGTAATCATGATGCAACTTTTTTTTAATGAAAAACAGTGAAAAGTTTCAAAACTCATTTACAAATTCACCAAAGTGAGCGAAGTTATCTTGGCTTCACGGTATGTTGACTTTCTATATTGATAATCATTCTCTAAAAATGCTTCTCTTTCATAAAAAAGCTGTAAAAAGCTGAAACTTTTACGACATTCAATAACCTTTCATTTTTCCTCTCCTTTTCTCTTTTTTTTGATTGTGATACAATCTTTCTTGAGTATCTTTTCTTCCAATGTTCATTATAAAGGTCTACATCAGTCGTCACTGTTGGTCCCGTGTCATTCAGCTTTCCTCAAATCATGCTGAAAATACGATAGAAGATAATAAATTTCCCTAATCTTTATGCATGGAAAAACTTTATCCTCATTCTTGATAAGACGATTGTTGAAAAGAATTCACATAAAACTGCAATGTTCTAACTTTGGCGTCATACATGAGCAACTTTTATTCGAGAAAGCTTTCACAAAACTAGCAGATTTTGATGTAATTGAAATTCTTAAAGTTTAAGACATAATCCCAATATTTTAAGTTGAATATTTGAAATTTAAAGACTTTAAAGCTTTTCATGCCTTATTTCTTATCACTTAAAGAGCTAAATAGAAGAATTTGAAAAAGAGAATCGTCTTAAGTGTCTCCCACCATCCTAAATACTTTCAGGAAAACTTTTTTTATGTTGATTTATATTCAGAATTTGTCTGAAATAAAAGAGTAGAAAAAGGAAAAAAGTTTCACTTCGAATCTTTTGTTTTTCATTCGTTCATCGTGTGACTTCATTTAAACGATCCTAGAAGTTTTTAAACTTTTTAATTTCCTGATTCAAAGTTGAATTTCATTTATAATTTTAAAAGGGGAAAATATTTTATAATGCCAACTATCACTTTAAAAGTAGAATGCTTGATTTTATTAAATAATATTTACGTCTCAAGAGAAACTAAAATTAATATTTGAGATTACTTTCATCCAATGTATGATGGTGGAATCATTTCAGTCGTGCAAAAAGACGGAGAATTTCGTTAATAAAGTTTTTCTCGCTGATTCTTCGCTCATTTTCTTCTCATCGTAAATATTTCGTCGTCGTTTTATGCCTTTTACGAGTTTTCTCTTTGTGCTTTGTGCTTCTTCATATCATTTTGGAAGAACTTTTATTAATATTCTGAAATTGACGCCTAAAATTGTTCTTCAACATGAGCAAGAACTTTCTTATGAAGTCTTCCAAATAAAGATTAGAAATTCTAAAGCAAACTCAACTTGGATTATGTGTGAGATATCTGTTTTCAACTTATTTTAAAATTCCCAACTCGTGACTGGCGAACAACAAAATTGTTGATTATGATGCTAAAAGGTTGGTTGGTAAAGTTTAAACAAAAAGGAAATCGTTTCATACTAAAATCTTGTTATTTTATCACAATGCTTGCTACGAATGGACTTTTCAAAAACATTTCTTAGATGAATGAAATCAGATTGGAAAGCTAACAGAGGGTGAAACACTTCAACATGAGTCGGTACAATGAAAATAACGTACCGGCAGCGACTGTGGATGTTGAGCTTTCTCATTTTTTTAAAACATTTTAATAAAACATGAAAGTCACCGTGCCAATTTTCGCTTTGCTTTTCCTTCGACATTTGAAGCTAAAAAAAGTTTAATCTCTACCAACACATTTATCAAAGGAAATATAATTTAATTTTATAACAAGAAGTCATCCATCATTATGTAAGTAAAACTTCTGCTGTTTGTGTCGCTTAAAGTTTCATTTGTTTGATGACTTTGAAAAAAATATTTGTTTTTGTATTTCGTTTTATTAAAAACTTTCTGGGTTAATATTTTCTTTCTTTCTTCCTTCGACAAACTCGCCATTAAATCAGTGAGATGGAAATCTCATGAAAGTTTTTCCACTAAAGTGTGTTGTTGATTTGCATCGTAAAGTTACAATAGAAACAAATTATAGTGTTTTGCTTCATCTCCCTTTACATTCCCAAGCGTTAGTAAACCCGAGAAAAGTTTAAAAATATTATTTTCGACGCGAGAAAAGTAATGGCAGCTACACGCTTAATAAAAGTTGAAAATATTTTTTGATTATCGTCCTGGGGGGAAAATAAAATGAAAAGTTTCGCTTTAGTTTCTTAAACACGATAAATAGCAGAAGGAAAATAAAAATCTGTTAGCTAAATTCTATGACATTCTCTTAGTTGCTTGAAGTTTTACATCGGCCTCAAGAGGAACCAAAATGTTTCTGAATTTAAGATTTCTCTTGCATCCTTGTCGCTTTTGCGGTCTAGAAAATCTTGTGCAAAGTAAGCCAAGCTGAAACATTACAACAAATCTGTTGATCTATTGATTTCACATGAGAAAAGCATACACAAATGTGACAAGAAAAGGTTTTTGAGGATAAATTTTCCCCAATATGTTCACTTTTTGATTCAAGAAAAATGAAAGTTGGTCAAAGAGGCTTAAAGTCGACCATTGGCTAATCTGAAAGAAAGCCTTCTTATTATTAATCGATTCTCAGAAAACTTTTCTCTTTGACATAAAATGACCAAATAAAACCTTAAAGCTGCAAAACGATGAGGCAAAAGTTTTAAATATTATGCCGGTCAGGATCACCACATTTTATTGAATCCTTTTCCTTTCTAATATTCATTATCGATTTCAATATTACTTTTCTATGGCTTTACAATATTTCTCATTCGTCTTTCCCAGCATTTATCCTTTTCTTAACCCGAGAATTGAAGACGGTTCAGTCTTTTCTCTGTTTAATACTTCCGAAAAACTCTTATTAAGCCCCACAGGGATTTGACTGTATTTGATTTTGATTACGATTATTGGTGAAGCATTGAACGAGAAGAAAGATTCGACAGTCGAATCAAATAAAAATTTTTATGATAGCCATCATTGAGATATTTCCTAATGATGGCAAAGTCTTCTGTCATAACATTTCTTTTGAAATTCTTCAACATCCCAAGACAATCTTTTGTTGCTACTGAAGAGAAAAGAAGGAAAAGAAAATCCATAAGAAAGTTTTCAGTATTCCTCCAGTCAATTTGTGATGCGTTGTGTAATCTGACACTTTTTTCTGCGTTGAAAGCACAATTTTGAGTCGAAGTAATATTTCCTCGTTCTAATGGAGCGTCTTCGCAAAAATGAAATTGTTTGGAAGATGAAAAAGTTTTTTGCTTGCCTACGACTAGGGAGAAGTTTATGAGGAGATGGAGATACCATTAATAATGGGAATCTTTGTTTTTTCTACATAAAAGTTGGAATCTAAACAATTCTTATCGCAGTCTTTTTTTATTTCCTCTCGGCTCAAGTATCATTGAAAGTTGGAAACAATTAAATTTTATGTTTCTTAGCGTCTACTTCTGTTCTGTACTGCTCGACAAGGTTTAACAATAAAATTCTCATTTGATCGAATCACAGAATTTTATAAGATGTGAAAAGTATAGAAAAATAAAATTTTACATAAAAGCATTTCAACATACATGAAGGCTTACAGACAAATGACGAACACGATCGGAACAAATGCTTTGGAAAATGAGAAAATTGTAAATAATGTACCGAAACTTTTTTCCAGCTTTTATTTTCCGCTTTTCATTCAACTGCTGTCACTTTTGTAAAATATAAATCGGGAAAATGACAGAGAAAAGAGCTTTTTCCATGCAAGAGTTTAAATTCGATGAGTATTGAAGAATTGCACAACGATGGGAAATCGAAGAGCAATCAAACGGATGAAAAATGACACTGGTTGATTGCTGAATAATTGCCCACGAAAAATCATGTCGTGAATAGAATTTTCCTTCTTCTTTTTTGTCAACGTGATCATTGAATAAAATCTCACAGCAAATTGGCCCCATACCAGTCATCGTCGTTGTCATCATCGTCGTTGTTAAGTATGGAAAGTGCCATTTTCAAACATTTTTTTTCTGCTATGATACTTTAGAAGTTTTTCGTTGCTAAACAAGCTTCATTAATGTATTTTTGATTCTGTAACGTTAAAAACGTCGAAGAAAATCGTTTGTGAACTTCAAAAGAATCTTTTTGAATGGCATGAAATAAGAATTCTGTAATCTGAATAGTTTGAAGCATATTTTATTTGAAGTGCCTTGGATGAAAGGTTTTGTGCGTTTGACCAGCAAGTTGCGAAGTTTCGAATCCGCTTAAGAACTTAAATTGTTTGTGATGTGTTAAGCCAGAAGCATTAAAGCTTAATGGAAATTAACATACATACAAACTAATGCATCATGTCGTTCTTCGTAACTTAATTAAAAGGAAATTAAGTGAACCATAAATGAAACCTTGATGAGTTATGTTTATAAATAAATTTAAATGGTTAAAAAGTTACAGAAAAGGCGAACACTTTTAATTCATTCGAAGCTATTTATCATAAAACCTTTTAATTCAGTCATAAATTCAAAATGATGAGAGATAAATTTGCAAATTTGGAATCCAATATTGCATTTCTGAAGCAGTTAAAGTAAAAAAAGGTAGAAAGTTCATGACAGAACAGTTTTGAACAAGGTAAGGAATCTGAAGTTGGTTTGGAAACTAAATTGAATCGTTTTTATGACTTCACGCTTGCCAAGAGCATCGTCGGCTTTCGTTTTATTCAAAATTGAATAAAAACAACGAATATGTTGAACATGAAGTACCGCAGGAGTCTGCAGGAACACGTGAATTCCAATTCCGTCTCACGGATTATTCTCTTCTTCCATAATTTAATAACCTACATAAATATGCAAATTAATTATTTTCTCCCTTCCCGTTCTTTGCTTGCTTCAATTGTTTAACACTGAAATGAAGCCATAGCAAAATTTTGTTCTTCGCTCATCCATAAGCTCACAGGGTAACAAATCTATTCTTTCTTCTTATCTCGAATTCAATTCTAAAGTCAACATTCAATGAAAATTCCTAGAATTCCTCATTGCATCCAAATGATCCAATTAATTAGCTTCTGAAAATTTCCTTTTATAAGTTGAAAAGTCTTTTATAATGCCGTTTCCCCGTTTGAACTTTGAAACGACATAAAACAAAGAAAATTCCGAAGTAATGAAAGAAAGCTTCGTCTTAGAAATCTTCGAATAAATGAATAATAAATTTGGAAATATGATTAAGTATAATTAGATGTTGAAGAAGGGAAAAATGAAAGAAAACAAACCTTTCTATAATTCTGCTACCTAGGACGTTCTTCCGTTGTTTGACTTTTACAAATCACTGCGTAGCTATCGCAAAGTAATTTGCCTAAATGTTGTTAAATTCAACTCATTTGTGTCGAAAGAAAACTCACTTCTCTGCACGTTTTGTTCCCTTTTTTACTTCTAAGTTGGCTTTTTATAACCACATCAACCTTAAAAAAATCTCAAAGCTTTTAAGATTTTCTAGACTCAGGGATTAAAAAAGGATTCAAAATGATGGAAACGGAATTGGATGACTTAGAAACTTAAACACTAGGGAAACAGTGGACTAAGTTAATAAATTTTCCGTTCAGATAAATTGAGACAACAGAAAAAGCCGCTGGTGGGGAAAGAAGAATAAACTCAAAAAAAATGTTAATTAAGTGTCCTTGGTGAAGCTCCCCTAAGTTTTCCTGCTCAAAAATGATCACTCAAAAATAATGAGAAAGGAAGCAGGAAGTTTGGAATATATTTAGAAAAGCTTGGAAAGCATTTGACCAGGTAAAGCAGTGTCATGAATTCACTTACATTATGTTATCGTCATAACAAAAATTATTCACGATTCGCTTCAACTTTTATGTGAATTCGTCAGGGAAAATTTTTGCGTGTGAAAATTTTCCTGTTACCCAATCGCGAGCTAATTACAAAGTGGATAAAATAGAAATGTGTGAGAAGCAATAAACGCGCCCTGCTGGCACTCAGAAACAAAAAATCATAAAAGAATGAAGTTGGCCTAAGTTGAACTCAATCTTGTCCACGATGTATGGTCTCAAAGGTTCAGTCGTAAATATTTTTATTAGCTTATCCTTTCCATATCCTTTATCTTCGCTAACCTTGAACTTTTACATTCTTTATGCATGAATGGTATTGGATTGCGCAATAAATGTAGCAAACTTCATATAATGTTGCGAAATAAATTATGTCTGATGGTTATTTTGTTTTTAAGACTAAATAAATAGAAATTTTTCTGAAATGGTTTAAATTGTAACAAAACAGAAAACTTTGTAACAATCCAAGTCAATTGGATTCAATTCTCGTGTTAATAGCTTGCTGCAATGTCATCGTAAAAATAATAATTTATCGCATGAATAAAGTCATTAAAAAACATGAAGCATTTAAAGATCTATGCTGACAATGAATTGACTTCATGAAATGTATACAATATGACCTGCGGATGTGATAAAACATTAAAAAAGCTTCTTTACTCCCATCAAGAATGCAATGAAACATCAAAAATTTATAAAAAGTATCTTCCACCCACACACAAGAAATAAATCGATTTCTTTTCACTTCCTTTCTTGCTTTACACTGCTTTTATCGTCAAATCATAAATCTTACATGTTTTCATGAAAATGAAAAGAAGAATGAAGGGAAGAAAGCATTTTCCACATGTAACCGCAATACTTAAAACTTCAAACTCTAAAAATATTAATTTAAAAGCAAAATAAATATGTGATGAAAATTTGAACTGACTTATTAGAAAAGCAAGTCAATAAAAAAAGGGAAGATAAGAATAAAAATAAAAAAATCGATGAAGTTCTCATTTCTTATTATTACTTTTTTATAATATCGTTTTGTGTTACAATTTATTTTTACATCTCTCAACTCGCTTCCATTTTAATGCGGTTAAAGATGAAGAATGGATTTTATGAGCTTTCGTCGGCGGTAGCAACATTAGAGGGAACAAAAACAAAAACTGAAAGAACGGTTGCTTTGAAATATGAAAGGAAAATTCCATTTGATAGAGATAAGCGCGTTCAGAGAATCGAAAAAAGAAATAAAAAAATTAAAATGTTTTCCTTGAGGAAGGTAATCTAAGATAAGGGAATCAACTTGGATTACATCATCAAAAGCAGTAAGTGCATTAAGTAGGATGAAGCCCAATTTAGAGATTGACTTCGCCTTTCTCAATAAATTTCTAAACCTCTTAGAATATATTTATTCTCCTTTTTTGTTGCTGAAATTTATGTTAATATGTATATCAATGAAATTATTTCAAGACAAAAGCAGATTAGAAGACGAGTAAATTCACTTTGTTAGGTTTCGGAGAGAAGTAGAAAGAAAATCGTCTAATCTGAAACCTCATTCGATGATAAATGAATTCAAGTTATGCTGCGTTTGCTTTTGCTGATATCTCATAAGATTTAACACGTTCAAGCGAACATATAAAAGGGGAGTCGAAAGATTATGCAATATACATTGAAAATGAAATCCGATTCAGACTATATTGAAGAATTATATCACCTGCCATCATTTGTTTCATTCTCTTCAGTCTTACTTTCAGTCAATGTAATCAAAAATCCATGGCTTGAAGCACCGGCATTAATGTGCAAGTATATGTGAGGTTTTTTCTTCTTCCATCTGATGTATGTTTGTATTGTTATGTAAGAAGTGAAGATAACGTAAACCCCCAATGCTTAACAAGCTTCCCTTAGCACCATTATATATCCACTTGAAAGGATCCATTCTCTAGTTTAACACTTTCCTTTTTTTCCTGCTCTCTGATGAATATAGCAGATGGGTTAGGGGATGTGCGTATGTTTGCGTACAATTGTTGAGGTATTTTTCCTCACCCTCTCCCTCTCACTCTTTCTGTGGCTTTACGAACTTTCGCAAAAAATTTCTCGTTCAAATAAAATTTCAATGGCGACCCTTGAAGTTAAGTCAAACAGCAAAATATAAAACACTTAGGCGGAAACTTAGCCACAAAATAAATCTATTTAAGTAAAAAAAAGAGATTGAAAGAGCTTCATCATACAGATGGAAAACAGGAAAAAGTTTTTGTTTTTGCTTTTTTCATCTCATCATCAATCAAGACGTAAAATCACCTTTTTCGTTTGGTGTTCGCAAACAACTTTCGGTTTTCTTCTTCAATCTTTTAATTAAACACAACTGCAAAGATCGCCCTACGAAATCGTTTTACTTTGTCTTTAATTAGAAAATTGCTTGTCTTGCGAGTAGGAAAGTTGTGATTAGTTGAGCAAGCCATAATTAAATTTGCTGAAAAGAAAAAGATTTTACGTATTCACTTTAAGGAACATAAATCATCTCGTTTTCGACCTTTTGAGTTCACGAGTTATAAAAAGACATTAATTTTGTAGAAAAGCGCTAATATTTGCTTTTATGTGGCGCGACGAAGCGAAATTAAGAAGCGAAGAAGAAGAAACGTGTAATAATCGAGTCCATCCTCAAACTTAATAATGACTTATGATGCCTAGAAATTTGTATCTCCTTCCTACTTGAAACTTGGAACAAAAATATGTGAACCGTCTACATATAAATATACATAAAAAGGGAAGAAAGAATTGCTTTAACATGAAATTCCTTATTAGCTTTTCTAATTATAGTTACTAAACTTTATTACAAACTCCCCTTATGATTAAATAATATCCGACGAATGTTTCTTGTATATAAAAATTCTCCCTCTGGCTTTCATATTTTCTTGCGTTTAAGCGCTTAAATGTAACCGCTTATTAATGCTGTGCTGTGCTATGCTGGTTGACTTCAAATGAAATTAGAAAGAGGCGCAAGGGATGAGAAACTTCATCATTGTGAATTGTCAAGCTGTTCATACAAATTTTCTTCTTTCCATCGATATCATAACCCATCTCATATTCCATTTTAATTAAAAGCGAATGATCGTAAAATATATTTATGATGGCATGAGAAGCAATAAAGCCAGGCTCGTTAATATCAGCAGAAAATTTAAGCGAAAATATTCTCACAGAATTGAATTTCCGAAAAAGTAATGGAAAATTTTTAACATTCATGGAGTGGTAAATTGACCAGGCTCGAAGTTTGGTTGCATTAACAACATTTCGAAAGATAAAATTTTAACGTTTACAAACATCCCAGAAATAAATATTTGCGGTTTTCCATCATTACGAATATCTTTCGTGTTCTAAATATCAAATGAAATAATTTAATTTTAATTTTCTCGGAAAGTTGTTTCTAAGAATTTTAAGAAAATTTTCTGTCGTCTTGTTGAAATCTCTTCTTCAACATCACCACAAAACCTAATCATTCTGCTTTATAAAGCTCTTTGAATCGGGCAGAAAAAACCGAGCTTTAGAATTTGCTCGATATCGATTTTTCGAGTTGCTATTTGGGTGATGAAAGGTTTTAAATATTTAGTTTAATGGATGGAGATGGAAAAAGTTTTACACTAAAAGCTGGCTGTTGTTCGTGAGGGTTGAAAAGGAAGAAAACACGAGGTTTGTGGTTTCTCCGTGATGTCAAATTCCCATTTTCAAGTTCAATCTTTTTAAATTCAAAAGCAACATCATGCAATGTTAAGGTTAAACGAGAAATAATTTTTTATTCATTTTCAATGTTTTTCTTTCTGTTTTAAACATGTTTTGTTTTCATTTCTTCTTCCTTTTTTTTGTTTGAATTGTTGGGAAAGTTATTCTTCTTCTTGAATCTTATACAATATTAAACAATAAAATTTCTCTCATCTAAATCAATATCTATACAATTTTAATATTCATTCATTTATCTCCTTTCATTCAATCCATTTTTCAATATCAACAGCTTGTGTCTTCATTCGAATATCATAAACATTGTTACATTAAATTATTCACTTCCTTTAAATCTTTCCTCACAATTTTTCTTGGTCATTTTAAGTTAAGAATTTTTATTTTATTTTGATCAAGATTGTTTTCTTTTAATGATTTATGATTACGATGTGATTGAGCTAACAACTGTTACCATTTCCATTCTGTTCATCTCACTAATATTTTTGTCTACTTTTTCATTATCCTCAATATCCTCAATCTTAAATATTTATTCAAGTAAGATGTTAGTCAGTTGATCATTAAAGTTTATTTTTTCTTTTCTATAATGTTTACGTCAGCCTTGAACAGAGCAAGTAAGATAGAAAGGAATGCACAGCTGACGAGACGCTTCTTATTTCAAGTCATTCTACTAATTAAACAGATGTTTTCACAGAGCTTTATTTATGTGTTTGATAATTAATGAATGATAGAAGACTTTCGTCTGCAATGCAGATTTGTTTCACCTTCAAAATTATCAGCTACTAGTTATCTAGTTAAATTGTCTCGTAGCTTCTTCTCTCGTCTCTAAATGTAATTATAATGAAAGAAAATTTATCAGAAATGACGACAAAATAAATTTTCCTTTCTTCATAAACGATTTCGAGCTGTTTTGTTATCAGCAATTAACAGCAATGTTTGAAATGACTTGTCATTTAAGATTCCTTTCATCACGATATCACTTCCTTCAAATTATCTCAAGCTTTTCATCGCATTTCAGGAGATTCAAAAGTATTTTCAAGTTTATTTCTTTGAATATAAATTTAGAAATTGTTGCATTGTTTGGAAAAACCAAGGAAAAAATTTTCTACATCTGTCATGCAAATGTAGAAATTCCATCTACACCATCAACAAGAATTTTCATCTTGTGCACTTCATTGAAATGCTTTCGTTTTTATATCTCATGCGAATACATGAACTGCTCAAAACTTTTGATTATGACGAGACGAATGACGAAAATTTTCATGCGATGAACGGAAGTTCTCATTTTCACGTATCAGTTGGAATAATTTATGATAATTCTTTCTACTTATAACTTTTCCCTCACGTAAAGGAAAACATAATTTTGTTCCGGAAGAAAATGTAAAGAATTTTCAATTATAATTTTCTTTTTTTTTTGTAGAAGTGTAAGCTCTTTATTTGTTCTCATTTCTTATCGAAGAATTTATTATTTATGTAATTTGATGATCATGTTGGGAGAAATTCTATTTTTATTTTTATTTTTTGCTCGTCCTTTCCATTCATACCAATAATGAATTGAAGTATCGCAAAAAAATGTTTAAGGACGAAAATTCTCATGACATTGCTCGAATTAACTTTTTGCGACATAACTTTTCACTCAGCAGAAAAACCATTTCATCATTCGATCGATTTTCTATCGGCTTGTTGTTGTTTTTCTCTTGAAGTTTATCGTGTGCAGTAAGTTATGGAATTCAATATCAGATCAATAAACATACTTTTCCGGATGTACACGTTTCATGTATTTTTTATGCTGAATCGGCGTTTCCCTTCTCTTTTATTATGAACGTATCAACTAGAACTATAACTTTTGATATGCAAGGGGAAAATTATCGTCACCGAATTGATTCAGTTTTATTGAGAAATTTAAACATAAAAATGTGGAAGTCATTCTCAAGTTATTGTTAAAAACTATTGCTAAGTATTGTGCTTCATGTTCACCCTGTTTTAAAAGCCTACATACATCGAGAGAGCTTGAATGACATTTGATTATACGCCATGAATCTTTTATTTTCATCATCAAAAGACTCAATAACATTTATTTATCCAATTTTTCATCAACTACTTCATTATTTATGATATTCTTTTTTTGTCTCCGTAATTTATTAATTTTTATCACAATATAGTTTACTTCTTTCCGCATGAAACAAAAGAATGAGTGAGTGAATCCAAGACAACATATCAAACTACATTTGGCAAGAGAATTAACATTCACACGGTGTCATTGTCGATTATCATGTATTTTCATTTCTCACTCGCCCTTTTGTTATAATTTTTTTATGACTCGATATATAAGTATTTATATTTGATATATTTGATGAAAACCTTTTCATCCATTGATTGAAGAATGGAATAGGAACAGGTGGTGGTAATTTATTAAGTATGATTATGATTTCTTCAAGAACAAGAAAGGGAGATAGAGAGAATATGAATGTTAATGATCTTATTAATTAATTTATAAATTTCAAGTCTAATTTACATCTGAAATCTATAATGGATTTTCTTCAAAGATTGTTTTAATTTCTCCAAGTCTCAATATTTAACATTTTTTCATTACTTTGATGTGTTTTCATGACTCAAAAACTGCGAATGATCAATAGAAATAAATTTAAATATAAACATCAGCAAATTTCTTTCTCTATTTCTATTTATTTGATTTCATTTCTTTTTTTTTTGTATTTATCAATACACGGTAGGATATTTTTTATTTTCCAATAAACCAACACGACACTTTGAGCGTTATGCGTTACACTCAATGATTTCTTTTTTGGAATTCGACTTTGATGAGATTTTAATTTGTTTTCTTAGCTTCGTTTATCTTCTTTTTTTCTCTTTATGTTTTCAAAGAAGAATTTTTGTTTTGATTTCATTCCAAGCAAATTTTTAAGATAGGAAAGATTTGTTTACTTGTTGCGTCACAAAAATTTCTTCGAAAAGTTTGTTTTCATATAATTTCCCCTTCAATTTTTGTTTTTTGAATATATTTTCTTCTGTGTCTGTATTTACAAACATGACGCAACTTTTCAAATTATCCTGTTTTACAAATATTTTTTCTCTTCACTTGACTTTTCGTGCTTCCATTCGTGTAATAAAGAATGATTTTCTAATGAAGGAACTCTTGAAAGAGCATCTAGAATTTGTCAGTGGAAAGTTTTCTTAGAAGAAACTCTTAAGATGTTGATGGATCGATGTTTTATTCACAAATGCTAAGAGGAAAATTTTTGTTATTGACTCTAAGTTAAAAACATAAACAAGATAAGCATTAAATAGAAAAAGTTAAAACTCAGAAATTAATTAAAAATTTAAATTCATCAACTCAAGTATCTTCACTTTCAACTTTTTTGGTTTGTTTCGTAAGCGCAATTTTGAACAGATCATGGTTGAAGCGCAATTAAAAGTTTAAATGGGGAGAAATTATGTCAATTTTGAGCTATCTGATTACCGCTCAGTTTATTCAAACAGTGGTTGAACATAATTACTCATCATTCTTATCACAGTCCCCCACTAAATAGTGTTTGATGGGTTTGTTCTCATATTTCTTTGCATTAGATTTTTCAAACGACAAATTAAATATTTATTTAATAATTTAAATTTTGTCTCCTACATACATATATTTATTCATTTATTCAATCTCACCAAAGATTCGACGAAACATATGTAATTGAACATGAAAATAAATCTTCACAACACCCTAAATCATCTCCATATCATTTAGATGAAAAAGTTCCATTCGTTAGCACGGTGACAATGACTGTTGCATGTTGGGATGAAAATAATAAAAAGCTTTTTTATCGATCGACTATTTTTCCTCTCGGCTTCTTCTACCGAACTTTACACACAGTCGAATGAAATCTGTTGCTTTCTACAACAAACAATGAAGGGGATGACTCGATGTGAAACCGATGAAGACAGCATAATGGTTGGAAATATAGGCGGAGGCAAAAGAAACTTTTCCACTCTTTACGATCAAATTGTTATCGAATTTAGTCTCGAATGAAAACAAATTCATTGTAATGATTCCATCTGTTTTCTTCGGAATCAACTCCAGGCTTCAAGTCGCCTGTAGAGCCAGATGTTCCTGATCCACAACTCGCTGCTAAACGGAATCCGCTTTCTTGAAGCATATCGAAAGCTTGCTCAATGAATGTATGTTTTAAGAAGAATCTTGAAGTGTAACGATCGGGTCCACCATGATCTGGATCTCTTGACTCATTCAAAGTATCACCAAATACTTCGCGACATAACGCGACGCGTCCACAAATTAGCAACCGCGAAAGCTTTCGAAATTTCACATCAGCTAAACCATCTTTTCCAAACTGAAAACTGCCACGATATCCAACTGTAATGCAACCAGGTTGGTGGTTTTCAGCAATATGATTGAGAGTTTTTGTTAATCCCTCCAGTCGAAAATGTTCTGCTTCCTTCTTTAATCTCGCAGTCTCGCGGAAACCTTCCGGTAATGATATGGCTGAGTCTCTTAAATAATCCAGAACGTAGCGAAACAAAACTCCATCTCGATCGATAAAAATCCTTCCTTTGGCATCTTTGGTAACATCATTCGGCTTTCCCGTAAACATTTCATAAAGCAATGTGTTTGGTTCACTTAGCAAGGTCTTAAGTTTTGTCGTGTAGTGAACTCCACCAACATTTAACTCTAAAATTGGCGGAAAGTCGCTCATTTTGATTCAATTTCTCTTTTTTTCAATGTGACAGTGAAACGTAAAATCTTATAATGTTCTTTCGCACTCAAGTGACTTGTAACGAGAATACTTAAACTTTGTGCTAACGTATTCAAGATTTTTTTCTTCTTTTAGATTTGCATCGCAATTTTTCTCGTTTATATTTTATTTTTCTTCCTTTTACTTCCACTCCAAGAATTGTATATAATCACGCACACACCATAAAAATTCCTGTATACAATGCTGAAGTTTTTCTTTTTTTAATGCCGAAAGAAAATTTCTTTTTTCCTGCTTCTCTGCAAAAATATCTCAACAAAAACCTCGCAGTTAATATTTTGCAAATGAATATTTTTTTTATTCCAATGTTGCGATGTGCAAAGCAAGCGAGCAAATAAAATTTTGTGATTCAATGAAATTTCTTTATTTTATTTTCTTTTCTCTTCCAATTCCAATAATACTTGTGACTATGAAATTTACGGATGTTTTGCGGATTAATAACTAGAAGCAATCGCGCCTTATTCGCAACTAACTTTGACGAAAGCAAAAATTTTCCTTCGTCAGTAATATTTTCTCCAACACTCTCCAAAAGCTTTCGTACGCATGTGTCATCCGAAGTTGTGAGAGAATGCAATGCTTTTCTTTCCCTTTTTGTTTGTGTTCACATCATAAGCTTGAAGTAACGTAAAGTGTCACGTTCAGTTGATATTCTGAAAGGAAATTTTGGACGATTTCTTAGAGTCAATAGTTGAGTTTTCATTGACGTTCATACATATGAGTTCGGACCATAAAAGTTGGAGAGAAAATGTTAATTGGCTGTGAGAGAGAGAAAGAAAGATGAGCACGCATTTTACTTTTTATGTGAGGAAGAACAACACGAGATGATGTGTTGCTTCTGCTTTCATCATCAACATGTTTTACTGTGTGTAGCTGCTGTGTTTTAAGACTATTGAGAAGTGGAAAAAAGGCAATGTTTGCTCTACATTCATTCTCTTTGCTGCTGATTTTATTTTCCCTTTTTTCTCAGTTTGCTGTCTGGTTGCCTATCATGCGCAGCTTCCCAATCCGATCAATAATTTGTCGTAGGCTTACATTTTATTCATAAAGTATTCGAACTATTTCATTCTGTAAGCCTTCACATCGTTCTCAAGCCTGAATCTGTCATGTTATTCTTTTCATGCCTTGTCAAAGGGGATAGAAATAATGAAGAAAACAGCGTCGAATTACGGAAAAGAAAAAGAATCTTCGTTTCTATTATTTTCATTTTAGTTCTTTCCTAAGTCTTCTGTGCATGTCTGCAGAAGCGAAATGAAATGGAGATAAACGCAAGTAAATAAATACTTTTATCATGACATATGTGAGAAGTGCGTGTAAGTATGGAAATATCGCAAGCTTGAAGCGAACAAATAGAAAAGAAAAGAAGTGGAAGCTTTCAACAAAACATAATTTACTAACACTATCGATTGTCTTGTGGTTCTCATGTCTTCCATGTGCGACATGGAATGGAAAGATAAAAGAATGAAGTGCTTGGCTTGCCTACACCATACAAGTCAACAAATAAATTGATTATCTAAAGCCAATGTCTGCGAAAACAGAACTTTTCCTCCCTTTCACTCGACGTTTCACCATTTTTCGGCAAACAAATTATTCATCACGTTCATTGAATCGTGACACCAAAGCACAATTCAGTAAGCTCAACTTTCCGCTTGTCTTTTGTTTGCGTGGATCTTTTTAAAAGATATGATGGTCTTGTTGATTGTGACACTAAACGAAGTGAAATATCAAGAAATCAACAATAAAAGGGTTTCCTTCTATGATGTTCTTTCATTATTTCTACAATTTCACAATGCGAAAGCTTTTAAAAAAAGCTTTTTATATAATTAGATATAGAAAGAAAATATTTCGTTAACTTTTTCCCCAATCGTTTTTCATCATAAAGGTTTCATTCTTCATCATCATCTCTGATGGACTCATTCATATTTAATGTAATGGAGACGAAAATAAAATCATCGCTTTTGTGCTTACTTATATGGTTTAGTAAATTTCACGCCTAAATACGTGTTACAAGTAAAATAATCCGAGTGCGTAACTCACCAATATTATCCTTGCGTGTCTAAAATCGATAATAAAAAAAAATCTCCTTTTTTCGCACTCTAACATAGTCCTTGATGTCATGCCTTTCATCCTAAGGATAAACTCCAAGCACGTTGGCACTAATTCAAATTTTTGCCTAATCAAGTGTTTTTTTAATACCGACAATATCAAATTTCTTAACAACTTTGCACTGACTAAACGTCATATGTACATACATTTGAATTTAATGAAGTCGAATTTTATTCATCTTCACATATTTGCATAAATATTCAATGTTGTTATAACAAAGCTTCTTCTGTTGGTACTTGATGGTGAAGTCAGAGAATGTGCAATGTGACAACGATGCTTCAGCTTGCTTGTTATTGTTGTTGAAAATTACCCATTTTACTTTCAATATATTGAAATTATGCAAATCTTCTTGAAAGCTTCTTCCTTTATTCACCATGGAAGGGTTTCTAAATAAAGTGATACAAGCAATTCACTACCTCGCCAGATGGTGATCGTTATAAACTCCTTCATTTTGACTGGATATAAAAGGAAAATTAAACAGCTTCTGAACTCATATCCGGGTGGAAAACTGTCAAACACAAGATTTTTTCTCTCTTCCACTTAACAAAAGTCTTTGAAGTTATCGTTTACTGAGCCATAGCAAGAAATGAAAACTTTCTGTGTTTTTTTTTCTTTTCCTTCTTTACTTTAAAGAAAAAACTTATTGAGGTCACATCCGAAAACTGTTGCAAACGAATTTTCTCATCTCAGGATATGATAGCGGCACAGACTTCGACCCGAAATAATTCTCAATTTTGCAAACGATAACAGAAAAAAAGAAATCTGAAAGCTTTTTAATGCTGTGAAGAGAAGGGAAAAAAAAGAAACGAATGAAAGAATCGTAAAAAAGTGAAACTCATTTCGTCTCTTCAATGGGTCGCGCTATCATTTTATATGTCAAAGCTTTGAGATTGCCCTTCTTTCTATCTTTTATTTTTTTGTCCCCTTTAGCCTGATGGCTTTTGTAATGAAGGGACAAAATACGGAAATAATTTTACTTTCTGCCATAAGATAAATTAGTCGGTCAATGTTAAAAATATTGTACAAATGTCATTTCTAATGAAAGCTTCGGTCGAAGTAAAAAGCTTTATTTGTTTTTTAGCGATTACGATTAAATATGTAAGTGCCATTTAGTTGAAACATCAAATTCAATTTAAAGTAACGAATAAATGTAAGCATTCAACTATAAATAGTTGAAGAAACTTTCTTCCTGTGTAGCATTAAATTTCCGTCTAAAGAATTTCCCTGAATAACGAACATTACGAGCATTCTTAGCTTTTATACATGATACGTCGGAAGAGACGTTAGCTTAGCTACATGATAAAAGCATAGCGGATCTTTCAACACATGTATGTATCATCTTCCCTCTAAAACTAAAATATAATAAAAAAATAAGAAAGTCATAAATATCGTATAAAAACGACATTAAAATTTGTTCATGAGCCCTTTTTTTTATTATAAATTTTATTTATTTCTATCATAAAGTTTTAAGTTTTCAACTTAATAGCATAAAGGAAATATTTCTTTGGGTTAAGCAATAAATCTAAAAAGATATCAAAGTTAAAGTTTAACTCTAAGTTCAGACAGTAAAACTTTTTCATTAAGAATTATTTTCTGTTCTTAACGATGTCAGTTTCATTCGTGTTTGCCATTAAAACTCACTGATGGCGAATGATAAGAAAAATAAAGAAATTAATTAACTTTTGGATAATCAACGATAGTATTAAAATAGAAACTTTTCCGTATAGTTAAATGGTCGATAGCGTTTGTGTGTTATTCCTTAAACGATAAAACGACTATAACGAACACGAGTTGAACTTTTTAAAATTTAGAGAATTATCGTTGGAAAATAGAAATTTATTTTAACTTTTGTTTATGTATGATGAAATCTATTTTGATTCTACAAATAAATAAAATTCAAAAATTTTATTAATTTATTTGAAATTCTCTCAAAACTTGCATGTTCCGATCGTTGTTTCTTCAGCAGACGGAAATAATCAAAGTAAATCATTCCCCACAGGGTACAATCGAAACACGAGCATCGTTGAGATTCACAGACGTGCAAACCCATTCGGGCTTGGTTGAAATTTATATCTGTTACTTTTTATTTAGCAGAAAAGTTTTAACAAGAAAAGCAAAAGAATGTCGTACTCAACTTGAAAAGAATTTTGAAATAAACTTTGACTTTAGATGAAACATACATTAATGTTCTTCACATACTTTTATACGTGCACATTAAACGAATTGAGCTCAAGTTAGACTTTGATAAAGCTCGTAATGAGAGAAATAATCACTTAAGTCACTTTGAAGTTAAGGGCAAATGTTGTTTGTAAACCTGCTGTTATAATTCGTCCTAATTTGCTGTAAGAAACTAACGTAAGCTAACATTATGTCTCATAATTCTTCTTATTCAATAATCTAATAGAACGAAACATAAGATTTATGTCGTAGACTTGTTCGTTGTTGATAAAATGAAAATATCTGCTGACCAAACCTATTAGGGTAGTTGGCTAGTAGTGCACCACCTCGAAATCGTCGTTAGTAGTGCACCACTACTTTCGAACTTAATTTTCTCAGCTATTTTTTATTATTTATGGCTTAGAACTTTGTAGAAAGCTACTTTGGACTATGCTCTCCCTCTCTACAAAGTTCTAAGCC